GGGGAGATGGAGCGGGGAGGAAGAACGGAGGGAGGCACTACCGAGATGAGGAGGGGCGCTGTGACGAGAGGCTGACGGCGCGGAAGTAATCTCTCCGGCCTCGGGCCGGGGAAGAGACGAGAGGCCGACGGCGCGGGAGTAATCTCTCCGGCCTCGGGCCGGGGAAGAGGGAGGAGACGAGCGCCCGGAGTCCCCTTCCGCGTCCACGAACGCACCGGCTCTCCCGGCGCTTGGCGATGAACGGCGGAGGCGAGACAGAGCTCGGAAGGCGGCGGCAACAATGGAGTGGAGGCGATGAAAGGAGAAGAGAGGGAGGGCGCCCGGGGCTTTAAGGGCGGCAATGTCGGTTTGGAAACCGACTTTGGGCGGTCAAGGCGCGAGCTGGCGCTCGGCGCTCGCGTCCAAATCGGCGACAGGGCGGAGGGAGGATGACGCCGGCGGGAGGAAAAGGGGAAAAGGAGGGAGAGAAATGGGGGCTCGCCCCTTGCTTCTTTGGGAAAAGGAGGAGGGGAGCGGGGGCGACGCGGCAGAGGGAGGAGGGGCTCTGCCTCCGTCCCTTGGCGGCTTGCGCTCGGAGTGGCGGGGCCGAGGCGATGACGACGGCGATGACGGCGGGGCGGTTTGGAGCGAAGCGGTGACACGGGCGACAGGCGTGGGCAGGCGCTAACGACAGCGGCGACCAGGCGGTCGGCCACCACGGCACGCGCGCGCGGCTTGCAACGGGAGGCGCGGCGGATTGAGTGGCGCGGCTCGGGCACGCGCGCTGGCTGCGGGGCCGAGCGGCTGCGCGGCTGCAGGCGGCAACCACGCGGGCGCGCGCGCGAACAACGGCGCGCGGGGGCCGGCTTCGCGGACGGGGAGCTCGCCAGGGATGGGGAGAAGGAGAGCGAGGGGGGGAAGGGGCGCTCGGCGCGGCGCTCGCGCACGCGCGGGCAGAGCGAGGGGAAGGGAGGGCGCTCCGCGCGAGCGGCTCACGCGCACGCGCGCGCGGCGCGCGGGCGGAGCGGAGGGGGAGGGGGAGAGGGAGAGAGAGAGAGAGAGCGCCGGGGGAGGGAGGGGGAGATGGGCCGAGAGAGATTCGGCCCATCGACCCCGGGGGAGGCAAAATAGACTTTTGCGGAGGAATTTGATTTGGAAGGATTTGGATTCGGGATTGAACTCGACGATAGATCGGGGATTTGAGATCTTGAGATGGCACGGACACTAGACAATAAGCAAAGAAACAAATTTCGCAATTAGGGTTTTTAAGAGATAATTTTCCCGCTAGGCGCCACGACGGAACGGGCGCTACAGTTAATCCTATATCCTATATATCTATAAATATCATCCCCACTAAGTATAGTTAATGCTAATTTTCTCTACTCTCATGAAGCCACATCACTTCAGTTACTTTTAACCTTCAGATCATTCATCAAGGGTGCAAATTTCATCTCTTGTCCAAAAACCACACCATATATAACCGAATCATTATAACCTTTGGATAATTGATCAAGTTACAAAATATATAAGCACATTAAAGAAAATTGTATTTTAATTATGAGATAAAATTTTACAACGCATATTTACTATTTTTTTCACATAATTTCCTCCGCCGCAAAGCGCAGTCTATACTTTCTATAAAGTTATAACATGCAACCATGCCACATCACACTGGTGGAGAAACCATCTTTGCTCGGTTAGCCAAAATCCACAATAGTCTCGGTTGCAATAAAAACCGGGATTAAAGATTATCTTTAGTCCCGGTTAAAAAGTTTAGAGCTGCTTTTTAATCTTTAGTCCCGGTTGGTGGTGTTACCAACCGGGACTTAAGATCTATTTTCTATTTTTAGTCCCGGTTGGTAACACCAACCGGGAAAAAAGATGCCTACTATCTTTAGTCCTGGTTGGTGTTACCAACCGGGACTAAAGATCTATTTTTAGTCCCGGTTGGTAATACCAACCAGAACAAAAGATCGTGGCGGAGAGTACGAGGCATCTGCCATCTGCGAGATCGAGGAGGAGGAGACGGGCAGCCTTATCTCTTCACCTCTTCCTCCACTGACCTTATCTCTTCATCCCATCTCTTCATCTTCCTCCTCCTCCTCTCCTGTAACTCCTCTCCTTCCCTCCCCCATCATCCCTTCCTCTTCCTCCTCTCTAACTTCTCCTATAACTCCTCTCCTTCCCCCTCCATCATCCCATCGGGCGGCCGGCGGCCGGCGGCCTCGCGGCGGCACGCCGACGGGCAAAGGCCCGGGCGGCGGCCTCGCGGCGGTGGGCGGCGCTGCGGCGCGGCGGCGGACCGCGGGGCCTCGTGGCGGGCGGCGCGCCGGCTGTCGGCGCAGCGGCGGGCGGCGCGCCGGCTGTCGACGCAGCGGCCGACAGCCTGTGTTTTTTTTCTTTTTTTTTAAGAATTTGTGATTCGGATTTGTGTATTTGATTTGTGTGTGATGTCCGTAAATATGTGATGTATTTGTGATGAATTTTGTAGAAGTTGTGATGTAATTTTGTTTTAAGATTTTGTGATCTATTTGAATATGGCCGATTTGGGGATTTGAGGATCGGGGATAATTTATTTGGGATTTTTGGATGGGGATAGAGTAAAATCAATATATTAAAAACACAATGAAGAAAAGAAAATAATAATAGAGCAACCGGATCTAGCTAGCTAGGCTAGCTCTATCTTACCAACCGGGACTAAAAAGGCTCTATCTTTAGTCCCAGTTGGTAACACCAACCGGGACTAAAGATGTATTTTTACTCCCGGTTTTTTCACCCGGGACTAAAGATAGTGATCTTTAGTCCCGGATTGGTTGTCCCGGTTTGAAAACCGGGACTATAGGGGGGTTACGAACCGGGAGTAAAGCCCCTTTCTCCACCAGTGTCATCACCCACTAGCAATAATTGCATGCAAGCATACACCATCATCTACAATATATTTAATTCTACAAATCAACATACAAGCATATCAAATCACCACCCTCACATCATTTACACAATATTTTAACAAATCTATCTATCATTTTTATAGTATTTAACATAAATTTATCAACATGTTGAAAAAATATAGTCAGAATTACTTAGTAATCTCACAGCAAAGCGCGGGGAATCACCTAGCTAACTAATAGATGGGTACCTGCGCGTTGCGGCCAAGCCCTGCTCGATGTTGGCATATATGGTGCCGTGGGGTTTTGGCACCAGTGGCTGGAAGGTGTCGGCCCAATCAATCTCCTTAACTTGCTTCTAGAAAAAAAAAATCTATACTACCAATCATGTATATACTATGACAGCACACGTGCTTTTGTTTCACATCCTATCGAATAATTAAATGTTAGCTTGTTTGAGTTGTGGCTTATAAATTGAAATCAGTTTTGAATGGTAGAACATAATTTTAGGATTAGCTTAGGGATTTTCTTTTGTCACTGTGTCTTATTATTTTCTATGTTAAAAGTAGATCTAGAAAATGTAAAATTTTACCCTAAAATTATTTTGAATTCCACCAGTCACATGTTTTTAGCTCATAAACCGTACGGGGAAAAAACATCCAGCTAGACCCTAGATCGTCCTAGACCTGCCGAATATATATAGCTAGCATCCCCGACAAATATTTCCATTTTATATCAACAAGCTATTTATATATGTATATATTTTAATAACATATTAGCGAGATGTATGATAAAATAATTATGTATGAATAAAAACAGTACAAGAATATTACAGTTGACTTGTCTACAAAATTTACTAGAGAAATTTTACACAGTGTAGTTCTAGGAAAAGCATTTCTCACGGAGAGAGTGTGCGCTTCTATACGCACAATTGCACGAGTCGCAAGTCGCAACACGATTTTTTTCTGTTATTATACCTGCCAAGTAACAAGCCACCTTTTCAATCTTAGAACACATAAATTTTATAAGTTCTTTATAGGGATTAGTTCGATTTCCCTAAAAATTCTTCACGGTTTCTCCATTTCAAAGGAGGCTGGTTCCCTGAAGTGTAGTGTGACTGCAACATAAGCAATCACAGGCTACAACTATTCGATTTGAATTTAAGGGTAAGGATTTGCTATAGATGAGCTATTATAGCGCAATAGATCTGAATTCTTCGTGCAAAAAAATGGATGGACAAGATCAACTGCAGTTACGACTGTAGCTGATCTCAATCCATGGGAGCTCCTGTGACACCAAAATAATCTAATGGCATGGGAGCTCCTGCGTCACATTGGAGGCCCCCAGTTGGTGTGGTGTTCTCTGTGGCGATGTTCCAACCAGACCGGCTTCAATGGTTAGAGCGATGGCAAGATCTAGGCGAATGACTGAATTACGTCCCAGTTAATCTGCAACGTTATCTTTCTTTGTGGTTCTTATGGTCAATGATGTGAGTGAGATTCAATCTGTAATGATCATCTCATGTTTTTAGAGATTATGTTTCTTTGTTTGAGAAGATCATAATTAAATATAACTTGCAAGCTATTGGGAAACAACGGTTATATACACAGATTCTCAATAGCAGTTTTACCTCTGTCTTTAGGTTGATAGTTCAAGCAGTTTTCTCGTTTTAATTTAAGTTGTGATTTTGTAATTCATAGTTATTTGACCAGTAATCTGTGTAATAATAATTGGCTATATATATATATATATATATATATATATATATATATATATATATATATAGTTTAGAGCAAGACTAGAATCAATTCAATCTCTGCTATTATAAAAATTAAAGATGTTTTTGCCGATATTTTGGTACGTCATCCGTGTATGAGTCGGTTTTTAAGTTCGTTTGATTTTAGAAATACATATCCGTATTTGAGTCGGTTTTAAGATCATTCACTTTTGGTAATACAGAAGGAATCATATAAGAAATCTGTATAAAAAAAAACTCGCATGCTAACTTAAAACGATCGGACTCCTAACTGCAGCTCATTATTTTCCAAAAAAATATATATCCAAGCGAACTCCCACAGTGAACTTCATCTTAACTAAACCATATAACAGTAATAAGATTAAAATAGACTTCACCCGTTGCAACGCACTGGCATTTTTTATAGTTATTTAAAAAAAACAAGATGGTATGCACCATAGGGAGTAGTATTAATATAGACACGTATGCATGATACTAATAAATATAAAAAATAATTTTACATTTTGATAAGTATTATTTTTCTACCTGCTCCACTGACTCTTGCTAATCCATGTAACAGATCAGTGTATATTCATGTGTGTACTGTTGTACGGATCCAGAGCACTAGTAGCAAGAGTAAACAGTAAAATCCAGCAACAACTAGTAGTAGTAACCACTGGCTCGCTAGCTAGGCTAAAAGCTAAGCAATTAACTCGAATTAATTCTTAATCAAGTCGTGTGGCTCTAGTACCAGTACTTGCATTGATTGGTAGTAATTAATTAATTAATTAATTAGAAAGCGTAATTACGGAGAGCTACGTCCAGCAGCTGCTCGTCCAGTGCCAGCTGCGGCTCTCCGCTGTCGTCGAGCAGCAGCCACGACTCGATCGCCGACAGCGGCGCCACCCCGGCCGCCGTCGCCGTCGCGTCGCCGTCGTCGCACGCGAGGAGCATGGACGACGGCAGGCAGTTGGACGCGCTGGAGTCGCCGCCGCCGGAGCAGCAGTCGGCGGTGAGCTCCAACGACGTCCCGGCCGTGGACGCGCTCTCCGCGGCGGCGCCACCGGGCGTCGTCGTCGCCGCCGCCGGGTTGCAGGCTGACAATCCTTTCCTGGCCGGAGGCGGCGCCGCCCAGCCGCTCAGCATCACGGAGATGTTGCGCTCGCTCAGGGCGTACGCCGCCGCCGCCGCCGGCGCGGGCGGCCCGCTGCTGATCATCGCCGGGGAGGCGGCGTCGTCGACGGAGAGGGCGTCGCGGAGGGCGCGCCTGGCGAGGTCGATGTCGGTCTGCAGCTTGCGCTCCCACTGCCCCCTGGCGACGAGCGGCGTCGTCGGCGTCGGCGGCGAGGAGGAGGAGGAGGTGAGGGCGAGCTTCTTCTTGAGGTGGGTGTTCCAGAAGTTCTTGACGTCGTTGTCGGTGCGGTGGGGGAGGTAGGAGGCGATGGCGGCCCAGCGGTTGCCGAGGAGGGCCTGGAGGTGGAGGATGAGGCGCTCCTCGTGGTGGGAGAAGCCGCCGCGGCGGATGCCCGGGCGGAGGTAGTTGGTCCAGCGGAGGCGGCAGCTCTTGCTGCAGCGGAGGAGGCCCGTCCTGGGCGGCACGGCGCGCCAGTTGCCCGGGCCGTGCTCCTGCACGTACGACGCCAGCACCATGTCCTCCTCCGGCGTCCATGGCCCCTTCTTCACCCCCTCCTTCTCGCAACACGGCGGCCGCCCCATCGATCGATCGATCCGTGGTCCAACACTTGCTATAGCTATACCAGATGGAAGGAAGCTTGAGCTTAGCTTTATATATATATACACACAGAGACAGAGAGAGGGAGAAAAATGTGAAAGTGACTGTAGCCCGGTGGTTATAAGATCGTTAGTAGTACTTTTGGGAGTGAATTTTCCATAATTTAACGGCTTTGTGCTTTTAGTGATAAGCGACGTACGTACCCGTTGACAGCGAAGCGTCTGGGGTGATTTCATCAATCTCCAGGATTTGCTAGCCCGTTCTTCGAAGGTTCTCAATAGGGTAAGGTTTGCGTGCGTGCGTTTATAGAGGTGAGTGTGCGTGTCTTGTAAGGGTCTGTGTTGTACTGTGTAATTAAAAAAAACAGGGAGAATGCCCAGGCAAGCATGTGTGTGTATGCACATATAGCCTAGAGCTGACTAGCTGGATCGTCATAATTGTTTCAACAGTGGTATCCATATTAGATTTAGTTTTTGTATGGTGACCCAGAATTATTTATTTAGGAGAATGGATTTTAAACTATCCACGTGTTGTCTCTTTATTTCTTGTATGACATTCAAATAGTTATGAATTTTTTTTAAAAAAAAGAGAGAAGATAGATTAATTAATACATGATCGATTACACTGCATTTTACAAAGATATAAGTTAAAATTCGACATCCATAAGTTGTAGAAATAATAAATTAAACTTTAGCTTAGTTAACATATATTTACATGCAAATTTGTTTTTAATGTTGTAGAAGTAATATTTAAAACTTGCATGTGTACGGAGCAATATATCACATATTATCTATGTTATCGAAATATTTTAATTTTTTGCACAACCCTTTATATGACTTGTAAGGAACTGGCGAATATATTCGCATCAGTTTAGAATCGTTTCAGTTATTTAGATTTAAAGTAACAGTAAGTACTCTCTATGTTCATAAATACTTATCGCCGATTTAATGAGTAAATTTCACAAAGCTACATCAGATTTAAGATTTATGAGTAAATTTTACAAAAAATATGGATACTTTGACCAAATTATCACAAAATTATAGGTATATAATAAATTTATTACAAAACTATATGTTTAAAGCTAAATATCTAAAACTACAGATGATATAATAAAATTATGATAAAATTATAGATTTTAGAGTTTAAAGTTTTAATATTATGTTTGAGTTATAAATATTCAAATTTTATGATTAATTAACTTGACGTTAGACTTGTAGTTTTATGATAACTTTATTATTACATATGTAGTAGTTTTGTGATATATCATTTTAAATCTATACTTTTATACTTCTATGAGGTAATGTCAATTAATAATACTTAAAATTGTGTTACCTTTCAAACGTAAAATCACTTCATTAAAATTAGATTCTTTCGAGTCAAAATCGTAACTTTGGATTCTTCCTTAATTAATCAAAGTCCAGAAAGAGATTTTAAGGCAACGGTACGTGAACGGTGTGAATGGTGACGGACGGACGGATGCGGTGTTAAGTTGATGATAGTATCGCCGCGTGCGTGCATTTATATTATAAAATATTGTATAATGACGTACATATAGTAATTTATTAAACTTCAATGTGGTACAACAATATCGGTCAATACCTTTAATGCTATATATGAGCCAAATACAAATGGACTAGGAAATATAATTGACAAATTTAACATAGTACTTATAATATTATTATTAGATAATGGAATTCATTCCGGCCTTTGCTTTAAAGAAGCTAAAACCAATTATTACAAAGATTATAGCTCAAAAGACTATAAATGACAAAATCATAGCTTGATTAAAAAACAAAGAAAACTATTTAGACTACAACCTAAAGACCAGGATAAGCCAATGGCTTATAAGTTGTACGTATAGTCTTTGTCTTCCTAAGCTATGAAGCAGAATATCCAAAAACAATTACTGATCATTACCGATTGAAACGCGCATATCATCGATGTCAACACAGCGAAAGATAATGTCGGAGAGCAACTAAGATGTAAAACAATCCTACGCAGTGGCGAATCTAGAAAATCGATTCATTGGTGTCATAACGTGTCTATCGGTGTCATAGTATACTAATTATACTTAAATCATAGTATAATAATACATGGATAAGCAGTTTTGTTATAGGTTTTGCCGAAAGTCGTTGGTGTCACCTGACACCGGCCCTATTATTGTAGCTCCGCCCCTGATCCTACGCTCAAATCTTACCACCAGCCTAACCATCGAAAACGGCAACAGGGATGTACACTGCACCAACGGGCAGGGGTGAAAATGGTACGGAAACAGACGGAAACAACTTTTATCGTTTTCGTTTTCATATTTTTTCCGGAATCGGAATCGGAATCGGAAACCCCGGAAACGAAAACGGAAACGAATATTATCGAAACCGAAAACGGAGCGAAAACGAACCGGCGCGGATACGGTAACAAAAATTATTAGAATACAAAAACCCCTTAAACTAAGCTTCAAACTTTTGTCAAGTCCAATTCTCAACTCTCAACAGTCCACAATTCATCATAAAACACAATTATATGAAATCGTCTCAACAACAAAATATATTCCTCTATAACTTCATATAATTTGCATAACAAATATTCTAAAAAAATTACAGCAAAAAACCATGGTACAAGGTATACAATATACACTATTATTCAGTGCTATACTGCTAATCTGCTATGAGCTATCACTCCATCATCAGTACATAGTTCATCAATCATCATTCATCAGTCATCACAGAACAGCAACACACATCAGTCCATCAGTACAGTACTTAGTTCAATCACAAAACAGCTACTTGCATTTGATGATTCGATCCATCGTAAATCTGCAGCACAAAAGAAATCAAATCGATTTAGGCTCGTCGGCTCGTCGCTAGGCTGCTGGGACTGCTGAGGCGAGGCGTCGTCGGCTCGTCGGTGTGGCTGTGGCGTCGTCGTCAGTGGTTGTAGCGGCGGCGAAACAGCGGGATGGCGCCGTGGCTGCGAGACGGCCGCGAAACGGCGGGACAGCGCCGCAAGATAGTGGCGGTATGAGACGGCGAAAACGGTGGGGGCGAGGTCGCGAGGAGCCGAGGACGGCAGAGAAGCGGTGGCGCGGGCACCGGGCGGTGGGCGCTGGCGGTGCGCGGAGCGCGATGCTCCGCCGCCGGCTCACGGTCTCGCGAAGTCGTGTGCCTGTCTCTCTCCTCTCTAGGGTTAGCCACTATTTGGGTTGGGCTGGAAACTTAGGGATGAGTTATAGACTATTGATTCTATGGGTCTTTTTAACTTCGGAAATTCCGACAAATTTTCCAGAATTTTTCCGACCGATTCCGAGTTTCGACGGAAACTGCTATTATCATATTCAATTCCGTTTCCAAGAAAATATTTCCGTTTTCGATTCCGTTTCCGAGAAATTCCGAAAAAATTCTGACCGGCTGATTCCGTTTCCGAAAACAGGCCTGGAATCCGGAAAGTTTCCGTACCGTTTTCACCCCTACCAACAGGGACCTCTAACACGACGCCTCTAAGAAGGTCGTGGCATCTATGGTGTCGTCATCGCTATTATGGGCAAACCTGAAGTATCTACTCGAAAGCATGAAGATGAGCTAGAGCATTGCGACATCGCCTTCAGGAAGGTGTGTGGAGTCCACAGGCATCATCGATGTTGAACACTGCCGTCAACCTACATCGCCACCTAAGCCATGCGTCCCCTCCGTCGCCACTACAACCAGCACCGATAAGCAGCCTCTGGCTTGGTGGTCCGCGGCTGCCTTCGACTCTCGGCCAAATCCAGCTGGCCCTCCAACTAGAAGTGGCCGCAGCCGCACCTGTCATCAACACCTATGACATGGATCTGAGGACAAGCATACTTCGGGACTTTCGCTAGAGGTAAGTGCATGATGATGTCATGGCACCGCGCCACCACCACAATCATTCCTGCCGTGCAACAACGGATAGCTGCAGCGATGAGGATGCCGCAACCGCACCGCAAGGGCCACCGCCACGTTGCATACGCCATGCAACGCTGCAACCTGGAGCTCACCCTTCACCCCGCCGCAACGGTCAGCCACATCGCGATAGCTGCCGTCGTGATGAATCCAAACCTTGCTGCCGCCTTCCTTGCTACTACGTTGGCAGTGAACTTGAGCGTTGGCGAGGCGGATGGGAGAAGGAGGATGAGCCGGAGGGAGGAGGGAGCTCACCAAAGGGCTTTGTCTGTCGCCCTAACCTGCTCCGCTTGCCGTCGCCGCTGTCATTGCTCGACTGCGTGTCCTCTTCTCCGTTAGAGCAGTTCGCGGGAGGGAAAAGGAGAGGGCTCACTGGAGGTCCGTCACAATCGCTGGAGACTCGTCGCTCACTGTTGGCGTAGAGAAAGAATGAGAGGAGGGGAGGGGAGAGGAAGGGAGGGGAAGAAATGGATAAGGTGAGAGAGAGAAGGGAATAGAATGGATAAGGTGAGAGAAAGGGGCACACAACTTAATCTGTCAGCGTGCGCGCATTAGAACCCCTCATATTTTGGAGCGAAGGGAATACTAAACACTCAAGGGTGTTGGACTACGACTGATAAGAAAAAAACGAAGCAACCAAAAATAATTTATGAATAAAACCTTTATATTTGCATTACTAGCTATTGAGAGCCAAAGCTAGAAAATAGATTAAGATAAAAAGAACCTAATAAACTATAAAATTAAATTAATTTTAAAAATTTAAATTTGGATTATAATAAAAGAAAATGTGTAGGCGCATGCGTTCCTTGCGCCAGAGATGGCTGACTTGTTCAATCAGATTGGGCGGCAAGTGGTCAATCGAAGCCCTAAATGCAGCAAGAGAGAAAGAAATTAAAAGCTAGCTAAGCTAATCTTCCTCCTGATCACAATCCTACCAACCAGTCTGAAGAAGAAAAAAGAGGACCGAGTCAGCTGCATGCTTTGCTAGCAGCCGATGAGCTCTCCCCATCCACGTACACCATTCAATGCGGTGTATGCCATCACAGATCTGACATCCATCAATTTGGCTCGAGAAATATATGTGCAGGATATTGAAGATTAGCCCATCATGCAAACGAACCGGCTCACGAACCCACTTATTTTATAATATAAATAGATGGATAACCCGGTATATAGGTTTTTAGATTGGTCCACTTATCCCTTACATCAAATCAAAGAGAATTATCATGCAGCTAGGTATTGTCTGCGGTAAGCCGGTAATTACCACTGACATATAAGTCTTTCATATATTTTTTAAGGGGAGTGCTTTATTAATTAGGAAATAGCAGCACAGTCTTAGCTCACAGCCAATTTTACAAAATCATGGAAAAAAAATCTCCACACTGCACTAGCCTCATTCCTACAAGCAAACTGAGAAAATAAATGAGCTACTCAGTACTCACTACTAACCAGCTCCATCATTTTGCTTATACTTATCCTTAATTATGGTTTATTAGTAGAACCAATAAATAATTTATGAATAAAATTTTTATATACATATTTTTAACGATTTAAAATAAAATACTGTAAAATAAACTACGATGAAAAATATCATAAAGTCACCTTCAAAATTAAATTTTAGAATTGAAATTTTAGCTTAATTGTAAGCATAAATGAAAAGAGGTAGTTGATCATATGTTCTAATATTATAATACTCACTCTGTTTCTAAATATTTGACATCGTTGATTTTTTATTACATGTTTGACCGTTCGTCTTATTCAAAAACTTTTGTGAAATATGTAAAACTATATGTATACGTATAAGTATATTTAACAATGAATTAAATGATAGGAAAAGAATTAAAAATTACTTAAATTTTTTGAATAAGACGAACGGTCAAACATATTTAAAAAAGTTAACGGCGTTAAATATTTAGAAACGGAGAGAGTATTATAAGTGTCATTGATAACTAGTGACACGACAGTAAGTGGTTGTACACGTACATTTTCCTAGGCTGAAAAAAAAAAGAAGCAGCCTTGTAGTTGTACTTGTTCATCGTCCTAGCAATTAAATATGCAGTGCAAGTGTGCAACTAGATGTCCTGAACAGCACACTAACACAACCATCAATAATTAATATAGACAAGCAGGAGCATGCACCGGCAATCACTATTATGAGACGAGAAACAGTAGAAAAATACAAAAGAGTTAATCAAGGCCCTATTTAGAATGGTGAAAAACGTTCTGTTGATCTTAATCTACACGGAGAAAATGGACTGATTTATGTGCAATTCAGCATTTTTAATCAAATCGCTGAGAAACCAAATCGGTTCACACAAATCGGCTAACCTGCAATAACAAAGCAATGTTTTCAGGAAGCTCTAGATCACTATCATTTCAATTAGTAGTAGGGACAACCGTAAAAATTATTCATCAATTATTAATTGTTAGACAATAATGGCAGTAATAGACTAACAACAGTGGCATGAAGTAAAAGATAGTAATTATATTGAGGCTTATTCTTGCATGCGTTTGAGAAACAGCCAAGAAGAAGACCATTCAATTTCTTCCCGGATATATTCCAGTTACGCCGAAACGGTAAGCAGAAATAAAAGCATGACCGACATTTAATCATATAAGCTGTGGCCAGCTTCAATTCCTAATCTCGCCAAGAGTTACGTATGTAATTTATCAATCATGACCGACAATTAATCATATAAAAAATGTATTAAAACGTGTCACAAACTAAGCTAGTAGCTACTAGCTGTAGCTATAATTAATGACATGCAAATTAAAGAATCCAAAGCTATATATATAGTTGTTGTCTTGTTTACATTCCTTCAAATTTAAGCCAAATTAAAGGCATCACGAATATGAAGATATATAGAGCGTTCCGCGTTGTTTGGAAATAAATTTGAAAATACACTGTTGTTGACTCGTTTTTTTCTCACAAATATTTGGAATGTAAATTTATTAGCATAAATATATCGTCGATCTCGCACAACAGTTCCGCGAAAGTGACGTGGATGTGACGACGCAAACGGTCTCGCACAATGACAGCGCGAGACCGCACGATGTCACGTGGTGGTAGCGTGAGACCGCACGGTCTCGCACGATGAAACTACGACACCGAACGGCGAAATCGAGGACGTGTGTGGTGGCGGCGTCAGACCACGCGGTCTCGCACGGCCAAACCGCGAGACCGAGCAATCTCGCTCACCCAATGAGCGATAGCAACGGTTGAAAATTGTTAGTTACTTTCTCCGTTTCACAATACAAGTTATTCTAGTATTTTTCATATTCATATTAATGTTAATGAATTTAGATAGATATATATGTCTAGATTCTTTAACACCAATATGATATAGGAAATGCTAGAATAACTTACATTGCGAAACGGAGAGAGTAGTGATTGATTATCCTAATTAGCAATTAATTAATATTAATTAATCGCTAATTAGGATAATTAATAGTTAATTAGAGTAATTAATCACTAATTAAGCAGCACTGATGGACAAGACGTTCGGTCTCGCTGATTCCTTGTGCGGGACCGTTCGCTCTCGCTGTTTTATCTCGCGATACCACGCGGTCTCGCGCGACACCGCGTGCATCGTCACGCTCTCGTCACTTTCGCGCAACGATTGCGCAAGATCGACGGTATATTTCTGCTAAAAAAATTACATCATGAATATTTCTAAGAAAAAAACGAATCACAGTATATTTTCAAATTTAATTTCGTTGTTTGCGTGATTGGCTTCCTTCTTACTATTAATTGACGCGTCTGATCCTTGCAGTTGTAGCCTAAATGCCTAATAACTACCGGCAAAACGATGGACTTGTCCTACGTACAGTTGCCGAGGATTCAATGCATCCAAATACCCAATATTTGCATTGGCATGGCCAAAATATTCGAGATATATATATACAAGACCATATTTACATTAGAAAATATGGCACTTTCTCGGATTCAAAAATATAAGTGATGGGTATGAATATACTTATATTTTGATTTATAGCAATAAATGCTTATATTTTAAAATGAAGTGACGAGCTAAAGAACCCAGAGAAAAAGAATTGTAATTAAAATCATTTTTCAACTAATCTTCATCAACATTGTAAGCCCAGTTATCACTGCAAATACTATAGCAAGGGATTTTAAATGATCCAACAAGTTTTTAGCATACAAAATTTGAGGGCTGAATCTAAAATAGTGTGGATTAAAATTTTATGTATTTTTAATCTAAAAATATAGAAGGGCTAGGTAGAATTGTGAAAGAACCCATGCATTGGTCTTTACCCATTAGTTACCACCGCTAATTATAGTTCTTTAATTTTTTTTCTATCTGAATATTAAGGGGTTGTTTAGTTGTCAGCCACACTTTACTATGAATGTTTTATCAATAAAAATAAGGTGGTCAAATTTTTAGCCATACCATTAATTATAGCAAGTATAAGAAAATATTGGCATACTTTGGTGAAACGGAGGACCGTCCTTTGATTAATTAATTGCCTGGCCAATTTAGGACTTGAGAAGGAGAGATATTAGATGATAATTAGGCCGTGCTTAGCTCTATCGTACTTTTGCCACCATGTACTATCAGCTCCCATTGTCACGTAACCCTTGTCCCTTGGCCATTATATTTCATTCTCTTAATTAGAGATGCACCATTGGTGGGTTGACAGAGTTGTGGGTGCATGCATGACGCAAACCCTATAAAAGGGTAAATCTCATGTACATCAATATTCCATAAATATATAGATGTGTGTAACCTTACTTGATGCACAGACTAAAACTTATATTATTAATTATTGTTAAATAATTAAAGAGTCGGTGCAGAGGTCGGCATTTACAGGCCCGTCCATAGACACATGCAAGATGAGCGACCGTACATGGCCTCCAAAAATTTAGGCCCCCCAGAAGTACATGTTTTAATCCATACCCATACGTTCTGATGTGTTTAGGATTTCTGCACTCCTTTTTTTTTATTTTCTATCTTTCTGCTCCGTTATATTAGACCAGAACGAGATCTTTTCGTCGGCTCCGGTAAATATTCGATGACGATATCATAGTTATCTTAAAGAAATGTACATCATGATGTGAACCTGCATTCCAAGCAATAAGGATTCCATTTTTGCACCTATTAGTCAGCAAAACTGAATTGGTGCAATGATTTTTTTTTCTGCTTCATCAGATCGCCATTACTTAAGTAGGTGAATGTTCTTTGGTATAGCAGTTGTCGCCACGGTATCCTATCTCACTGTAAATAAAGTTATCTCCCACTAACTCCTTAAGCTTAACATGCAAAGATGCCCATCATCATCCACTAACAAGATGACACATCATCATCCACTAATTAACAAGATGCCCACATTTAAACATCATGCAAACATGCTATATCTTTATAGTTTTTATAATTTAAGAGCTTTTCAAATACAAACATGTTAAATTATCATCCAATATAATTCACATAATGTTTCAATATATATCTTTATTATGTTTTATAATATCCTATATATTTATATAGTTCATCCTCACTTAGTTAGTGCTTAAATAATTAATCTATGGTCCAAATTATCTTTCTCTTTTTTTTCCTCTAATTAAGTCGTATCACATTAATTGTTTTTAACCTTTAGATGATTAATCTACTGTCCAAACTATCTCCCTATTTTTCTTCTTCCATAAAGTCATACCACCTTACTTTTTACGTTTGAATCGCCATTCTACAATTCAAGTTTAAATTATCATAAACCACGTTAATTTACTTAATCTGATGTTATCTAGCTATATTACACTTTATTTTTTTTTATCATACTAAATTCCCGCAACAATGCACGGGGTTTCACCAAGTACATAAGGTCTTGTTCCCCAAGATTTTTGGGGACGGCTCTGGGAAATTATATGTACTTTTAACTAAAAGGGAAACAAAATAAAGATGGCGTAAATTGATATTACACCGGGAATCAGTAAAATAGCAAATATTTGACTTAAGTTGACCTAATTACAGGGAGATTAATATTTGGTCAGTCTCATAGAAATCACCGTCCAGATACAGATAGCGACCCCACCTATTATTATTATTTTGAGAGGGACGATCTAAAAGAATCGAGTTTATATATCATGTTTATTTATTCTTAGCTGTAGCAGGTTAAAATTATGACATCGATCGAGTTTAAAAATCTTAAGACAGCAATTGCAGAAAGTAACAATCAAGGGAGGTGCCATTTTCATACTGATTTGATGGTTAAACCCTATCGTGACAGGCGAGAACTGGAGAGCAGTATGTGATACTGAATGTGAAATTCTGACAATAACGCCAAATTAATGTAACAATGAGCTCTTCACATGTTGTATTCAATTCGGTCAGCTGATCTGTAATAGAGTCTTTTTCAACGTCAAAACTCAAAAGTAAACGGCAGTTTTAATAAGATTGACCAGTTGCGATCTGTTTAGAACGTTAGGAGGCTTTCAAATGGGATAGAACATAGAGAAACTCGAGCAGAAAATAGGCAGAATTGATGACAAGATGGACCAATTGGTTTAGCAACTTGGCTACATTTCAAGAAAACTTGCTGACCAATTTGTTGCCAAAACCTTATGAAGTAAGAGTATTTAAGTAAGTACTCCCTTTATCCTATATTCCCTTTATCCTAAAATATAGGGCCTATTCAAATTGTAACCAAAATAAACCATACCATGTTTTGGCAATGCCAAAATTTTAGCAAGATGGCAATATTATCAAAATTTTGGCAGGATTTCTTATGTATTGACTAAATTTGTGAACAAACTAGACGTAGATATTTTTTGGTAACTTTAAAAAAAATGATATGGTTGAAAATGGCATCAAATTGAACAGGCTCATAAACATTTATAATTATATATCTAACATGTTTCCATATTCATAGCTAAAAATTGTTATATTTTGATACGGAAGTAGTAGTAGTACATAAGTATGTACTTGTGAAATTTGTGAACTGACAAACTTTCATGGTTTTCTGTCGATATGAAAACTTTGCTCTCCATTCATCGGTTGGCCAAGGTTGACTGTTGATTACTCCCTCCATTTTTTAATAGATGACGCCATTGACTTTTTTTCACATGTTTGACCATTCGTCTTATTCAAAAAATTTACGTAATTATAATTTATTTTGTTATGAGTTGTTTTATCACTCATAATACTTTGTGTGATTTATATCTTATACATTTGCTTAAAATTTTTGAATAAGACGAATGGTCAAACCTGTGAGAAAAAGTCGACGATGTCATCTATTAAAAAACGGAGGTAGTACATGACAAAACATGACCAAAAATAATTTGTAGGTAAAGCTCTTATATGCATGTACTTGATGACTTAAAATCCAATGCTGAAAACAAAACTATATTGAATACCCTAAAGTTAACTCCAAAATTAAATTTTATAATTTAATTTTTGGTAGCTGCTAATTTTTTTCAGGGCAAACGATGAGGCTAGAAAACAGCTGCTAGCGAAGCCTATTGGATATATAGACTTACAAATCGACAAAATTCAGCCTGATTATTACGTGTTTATGGGTCAAAATTCGCTCTTCCAAAAACTGTTGTGTGCCTAAATTTTGTCCTGGCCTGTTTATGTTTGTTCCGCTCCTAATTCCGCCTTACCAAAATCATATATAGGCCTAATTTGTCCTGGCCTGTTTAAGATCACCCAGGGCCTAAAAACTGTTTGAGCCCTTTTATTGTAACTGGTGGGCCAAACATTTGAGATAATAAGGTAGTGGGCCAAGTATTTAGTTTCAGTCCATTAAACGGGTATCGTGGGCTAATTACAGCCCATTAAAGATGGCAGGAGGGTAGTTCCAGCCTGTTTATTCGGGAGGAAAAAGTCCATTTTGACTCCCTTAAAAGTCACCCGAATCTAATCCGTGACCCTCAACCGTAAAACCGGATATGATGACTCCCCGAACTATTCAAACTAGTGCAATTTGACTCCCTCAGCGGTTTTGGATGGCGGTTTTGCTGACGTGGCGCTGACATGGCGGTGTTGACCCGGTCTTCATCCCACGTGGCGCTTATGTGGCATTACAATTAAAAATATTTTGTAGGGCCCGTCTGTCATTTGCACACAAAATATATTGTGGGACTCACATGTCATCCTTTCTCTCTCCAACCCTTATTCCTCCCCCCTCTCCCTCCCTTCTCTCTCTTTTCTCCTGCAGCCGCACTCGCTGAACATGCCGGTGCAGTTGAACCCGTGCGCCACCTCGCCGGTGCCGAACACCGCGATGAGCCCGATGAACCCTTTGTCCAGCCGTTCCTTGACGCAGTAGTCGATGGCCTCCTGCAGCCCGGCGCCCCTTACTTCATCACGGCGGCGACGTCGCGCGCCAGCGTGGAGCGTATGATGGCCTTGCCGATGCGCCCGGTCATCTTGTTCATCAGCCCGCCCATGGACATGGCCGCCGCGGTGTGGCCGTTTGAGTGCACCACTGCGCAACCCACCGTCTCCGGCGCGGGATACGGCAGTCAAACTGCTTGTACCAATTAATCACAGGATGTCACGGTTAGATGTTAGCAATTTTCATAGGCGAATTGGTAACATGAGTCAATGCGCTGATCGACGAACCAAGATGCTGTTAGCCTCCTTGGCGAGCTTCAACATGCCGACGTTGTCCTCGGTAATGAAGTAGCTATTGTCTACGACCTGAAGACCTTGCAAACAGTGACCACAAAGAATAAAATCAGACCAGTCCACGACCTCAAGATCTGCAGGACTCAGGTGGACCACGCTGGTAGGACGGATTCGTCCTGCAGCTACTGGTCCTGCCAAAATTCGACTGGATTCCATGGCGGCCGCGCCTTGCTACCCCACACCGGCGCTGCACTTGCATCTGCTAGGCAACGCTATGCACATGCATGTTCTTCGGGCAGAAAGAAACAGAGGCGGCACCCCCTGCCGGCGCAGACCAAGAGGCACGGCTGGGGCCAGCGGCGTCTCAGGCTTCGCCGTCTACATTAGCCCTCTCGTTCGTCCCAGCCTGGCGCGGCACCATCGTGGGGGAGGCCACCAGCCGAACGCCCCCGCCTTCTCCGGCGAGCTGAGGCCGTCGCCGCCGAACGACCCGCTCAAGTTCCTTCCTCCGTGCCGGCCCTCACCCTGCCGCCGCCGCCGCCACTCCAGATTCCGCACCGAATCTGGAGGAAGAGAAACATACAGAGAAGGGAGAAAGGAAGGGGGGAAGGAGGATAGATAAAGGATGACATGTGGGCCTCGCAATTTTTTTTCATTTGAATGACGAATGGAGCCCATATAATTTTTTATTTTAATGCCATATAAGTGCCACATCAACAACACAGATCAGGTCAACATCGCCACGTCAGCAAAACCGCCATCCAGAACCACTGATGGAGTCAAATTGCACTAGTTTGAATAGTTCGGGGAGTCATCCTATCCGGTTTTACGGTTGAGGGTCACGGATTAGATTCGGGTCAATTTTTAAGGGAGTCAAAGTGGACTTATTCCTATTCGGGATGTGTGTCTGATTCTGGCCCAATTGAAGCTGGCCCTATTTTCGGCTTATTAATTTCTAAATAGTTTCTAAAAAAATTAACAATTTTGCTATATATTTGTCGACAAATTTTCTCCCAAAAATTTGACAGATACAATTACAGTACAATCGTAGTGTAATTACACTGTAACTTGCATGTAATTACACTAACTATAATGTAACTTGTATGTAACTTTCAAAAATCTCTCCATAACATCTTATTTCGGTAAAATGAGGCTGTGGGAACAAATCCTTTCACACATGTGTGTACTGTTATTTTCTTTCTTCCTCACCAGAACAAATCTTGTAATAGATCTAACGATTCAAAATTATGTGGAACTTACATACAAGTTTCACGGTAGTTATATGCAAGTTACAGTGTAATTACATACAAGTTACAGTGTAATTACACTATGATTGTACTATAATTACACCTGTCAAATTCAAATTTTTAGGAGAAAATTTGTCAACAAATGTATAGGTGGTCCCAAAACTAATTATTTGAGAAATGAGTGGTGATTAAGTTTTATAAGTTTTTGTGCTAAACATCAAAAAATATCGGAATGAGTACCATTTATCTGTTGGATTCCTCTGAAAGAAATTAAGGTTGGGTCGTTGAATGCTAAGCAGGTAGTTTTGTCAAATTCTTGAGTACTGCCTAATTAATGGAACAATGAGCTGTTCATAGATCGTAATTTAGCCAACATATCTGTGATATATGTCTTCTTAAAGTACACGGCACGATAACCTATTGGCTTAGCTATTGCAGCTTCTCAGAACGTTGAAGGTTTCATATGGGACGGAACTAGAGCAATCATCTAGATCTAGGTCTAAGATACAGAAAACAGGCAGAATAGATGACAGGAAAGACTAATTGGTTTAACAATTGGCTTTATTCCAAGAAAGCTTGCTGAGAAAGTAATTAATATACATACATCGTATTAGATAACTCTTGAATTCACCAAAATTTCATCCTAATACCGCAAAACTGAGCTAAAGCAGCAATCATGCATAGAGTAAAGGAGTATACTAACAAAATCATGAAGGCGGTGCCGGAAGAGGCAGAGAGTGTGTCAACTGAGAGATTTACTACACCAGTTAGGATGTTTGCCTGTAAGATGAAGTTAAATGTTACTCCATACAGACTTACCAAAAATAAGTTCCAAATATACTAGAAACTCAAATTGAGGATCTATTAGTTGGAACATTTCTGTTTTGGGAAAATTATTTTCTAAAATTGTGACCAAACTGTCTTACCAGAAGGAATGAACCAAGCATATTTTGATTGAATGCATCTTCAAGAACCAGGTTCTTTTCATATGAAATAAACCCAGCTAGTGTGAGAATAGATATAACCTGTTTTTAAAATAGCCACCGCCATCAGTGAAATCTGGACAGAAAATTTTAACATGGCTATATCTAGCAAAGATACAATCAGAAAACTCTAACAGGCTATATGGTTGCTAAACCATAAGTAACAGAATTATGTCAGTCAAATTCGTGAACCTCGCCAAATTTCATGGTTCTGACAATACATAAAATGTAGCCCCCAATCATCAAAGAATGAAACCAGCTAGTGAAACAATGAATACAACAGACTAAGAAATTTTCAACCATATTCTATACATTAGACTGAGTTAAATTATTTCATTCTCATTTGATAATATTAAAGCATGCAGACAAAAAAAGATGCACAGTGTAGGTTAACTCCGATGCACAATCAGTTTAAGATTTCAAGTGCATAGTTTTATTTATATCCTTGACTCATGTAATACTACTGTACTAGTGTGTTACTATTAACCATTGCTGGAAATAGTACAAGTAACTAATTCTCCCAATGGTAGAGAGGCTAATTGAGAAATATGGATACCTAAATCTGGCAATGTATGCAAATTAAATAAAATCAAGAAAGGCGAAGAACAATACCTGAAAATTCTGTCCAAATACAAGCATAACATAAGCAAAGTTGCACTGCAAAATGAAATGTACAAGTTAAATTCAAATCTAAGGACGGATTAAATTGGGAGTTAATGGTACTAATCCTATCTTACTATAAAGTTATCCCCCACTAACTCCTTAAGCTTAACATGCAAAGATGCCACATCATCATCCACTAACAAGATGCCACATCATCATCCACTAATTAACAAGATGCCACATCATCATCCACTAATTAACAAGATGCCACATCATCATCCACTAACAATCATCACATTTAAACATCATGCAAACATGCTATATCTTTATAGTTTTTATAATTTAAGACCTTTTCAAATACAAACATGTTAAATTATCATCCAACATAATTCACATAATGTTTCAATGTAGTACATCATATGCATTACTATCTAAGTAACGGTATGTTTTCCCTTTCATTTTTTTTGAAAGGAACCACATTTGTACACAGGTGTCAAGGCTTCTAGGATCAAGTTATATTGAATATATAAGGGGAACAAACAACCTGGACAAGGCCAGAATTTGTTAAAAAGAATGTTTGAAATGTATCAGAACCAATATTTTGGCAAGAGATTTCCTCAGCCTTAAATAACCACATCTACCTCCGTCCCAAAATGTAGTTATTTCTAGCACAGTAACTTGTTCCAAAATGAAGCTATTTCTTCACCTACCCTCTCCTCTCAACCAATCACAACCATTCTTTTCACTTATTTTCTCTTCTCCACCAATCACAACACTCCAATCATCTCTACCTACTTTCTTAATATCGGTGCCTACCTCAAAAAGGCCTATATTTTGGGACGAAGGAAGTATTATGTTAGATTTGGTTGGTGCTACCAAATTTTTGTAGCTGCTCCCAGATAATGGAGGCAAACAAAACAACAGGAAATTTCCGTTGGAACTACCCATATTTAGTTTGGTTCACCAGTATGAACCAATGAACCAAAGAGGTCAGGTATTTGCCTCAGGGTCAGCAAAGTAATCGGATCAGGAACTATGCACTTTAGATGCGGTTAATTTTCTAAGCTATGCTGGTCCATTTCATCACAGCATACTCTTTAACTATCATAACAAGGGTACTCAGTTCAATAGAATAAAACTCTGCTCAATATACTATAAACTACTATTAAAATGCACAACTATCTGGTTTCTTATATTTGTCAATCTAATGCTAGTCTAGATTTTTTGTTTCTTAAGAAAGCATGTAATCAATTAATATCCTACCATTCGTCGAGAAACTCTTTCAACATAGCTGTCAAGAATGATTGCCATAATCCTGTAACATGGCATGGGAGGAATTGTTAAAAATGAAGAAAGGTTATAACTGGGAATAATGCATGAAAAAATTGTTTCTTACCAAAAAGATGCAGCAAGAACCCAAACTTTTACCACTTGACTGCTCCTACTCTTGCCTTTTGAACTATTGTCGAAGAATAGATTGTAACCCAAGGAAACACCAATCAGGTACATACCCCAGTAACCTGTTAAAAGGGATGAATCAATCAGATTGCATCACATCACCACAACTTTTTCAAAAAAGAATCAGGTGCATGCAAATTTATGACATTCGGGTATAAAAAGGATCAAAAAGTTACATGCAATCAGCATATAAAGGTCAGCAAGGCAATACAAAAGATGTATATAATAAGCATGGATATTAAGAAATCCATAAGTGAATAGAAACAAAGAAAAAGGGCTAGAAATATGCTGTGCAGACACCTTCATGTATGCCTGAATTATCCACCAACAAGTTGGAGGCTGATTATTTATTGGCACCTTAAGCAAAGAAATAACAGATAAATAACAGACTGACATCAAAACTTTTCATGACAAATAGCATTGGAAAATTTTGTGAACTCAAGTTGATGTGAGTAGTACAATTGGGTTGTTTAAGTGTTACATTAGAGGTGAGTGTTCCTGGTAATACGAAAGAGGTTTTGTTGCATTAGTATACTTACCAAATATGCTATAAACACCTTCCTTATTCTGACTGATGATACCACCGTTTCTTTCATTAGAAATGAGATACTCATTCAACCCAAAAGAGAGCCACGTTTGGAATCCTGAAAACAAATGAAATATCTGGTACATGAAAAGGAGGCTGTAGCACATTTGAAAATAAACTATTCAAATGAATCTTTAGTACCTGTAAGCACAAGCAGACCAGCTAATCCACAATACTTAGGATGGATCCTGATAACGGACGTAAGGATCGAAATTGCTGCAAGGGTGAAAAAGAAGTTCCAGTGCACGCCATATTCTCCTACATGAACCTAGAAAATGAGAAATAGAATATGCATCTTTAGGAAGACAGCAGTACATTTTTGTTTTGTGCAGTACATATACGGTATCTAGAACAAGTCAACAAGAGAAAATAATCACATGGTAATTGAAAATGCTGGATAAGGAAAGCAAAGTTTGAGGATTGTGCATAATTACGAAGTAAATTTAATGTCAATGCATATGGCAAATTGTGGCGAAGGCATAATTTAGGTAATTGACATGGTTATGAATAAAAATACCTGATAATCAACACCTGATGTCGATATGAGACGAGCAAAACCAAGAAATATTAGAGGGCTTATAGACATCAGTGCTTTATTCCAGGTCCTAAGGACACACATGAAGTTGCATTGTAAGACACAGCATACTAGTGACTATTTGCAGACCTCTCAATCAGAATATACTCTTACTATCCAGAGAAAATTCAAATATTCAAACAATGATGTCTGCGAAAGTCAAACATTAAAATAGAGTCTAAATAAGGTTTTAGTGATTATATTAGACAAAGGTGGGATGAATTGTCAACATGTCACTTTCTCAGGATGGTTTATTATTTGGAGAGAGAAATAAATGGGAAGGATTTAAAAAAGATATCGTCCTACAATAAAACAGAGCAGGTGCAGAAATTTGATGGATAATAAAGCTTTTGTGGGTGAAAAGTGATCAAGTCAATCTTAGCTTCAACTTGACGTTATTACTTTTCTGACTTGTCTCCAGATATACAAATATAAGAATTGTGGAGATCAGCATAATTTATCTTCAGTGTGCCAATTCTGAACTAACTCAGCAGACCAAGCTAATTTTTTTATAGATAGCTCGAACTGGTGAAGTTGACTTGCTTTGTACCTGTACCTTCTAGGTTTCTAAACTAGAAGTTCCTACTTTCAATAGATAAAGCCAGCGGAATAAATATATGTTCTTTATATCATTTATATAACATGTGATATATCTAAACCATGATATTCCTTTTTACCTACAGTTCCTAACAAACAACAATCTCTAACCTGCCTAATATTATAACCAAAGAAGAGTAAGATTATCTGTCGTAAGACATGGAATCTACTTTCTCCGCCTATATTTGGCCAACTTCAGAACTGAAAGTCACTGTGATGAAAACCAAAACCCTAGATTTCTTAGCCATATGAGATCATATGTAGTTAAGGACTTACATTGCAGTAAAGTTTCGTGCTTGTCTAGATACCAGTGCATTAGCCACTACAAAAGACCCTACTCCGAGATCCATCTGTTGGACAATGAGGCAGATACCTTAGTATCATGTCATTGAATGGGGAAGAAAACACAGAAACTTTTTAAGTTTCAAACATGATGGGAAACACAAATAATCCAAATCACAAGCATGCAGAATAGGTAACAGAGTGGATGCACAATTTGCAGCCAGTGTCTACTTTTGCAAAAACAAGTTCATGATTCATTAAAAATGCTTTGAGACAGTAAAGAACTAAAATACAACCAATGAAAAAGATGAAAGATACAACTTACGATGCCACAACCATATGTTTCAGCCTTGGCATAACGTCTAGGGAAGATTTTGAAGTCCACTGCTAATATGCACAGGCATGTTACTAGAACCTTCAAAACACCCCATCACCATTAACTTCAATAGTTCTGTTGGATATATAGTACTGAGAAGTAATTAAATGAGTAGTATTTTTCCAATTAATCAACTTTTACGTACCACAGATACTCTGTATGATGATATATCTGCTCGGAGCAAAGGCAGCTCATTTGGTCCAGCTTTGAGATGAGATCGAGACCTTAGAATATAGGGAATGCATTAGTTTCTAATCAGCATGGATTTTGTTGCATAAAGGAAATAGGGTGGTCGACTAGAATTGTAATAGAAATTAGAGAGAATGTGGCAAGAAAAACAGGTGTAAGAACTCAGATATGGTACCTCTTAAACATGGTGAGGATAGATATCAGCATTACAAGAGAAAGTGCACAAGCACAAGCCCATTCAGCTAAAACCTGTAACAAACCAAGGAATAATCAAAAGATTGCTATTTAACTTTTTTTCTCTAAGAAGTGTTAAACCTCATTATAACATTTGCAATAAGCAAATAACAATAGTTGGTTAAAAGTTTATGCATTGTGTTCCAATGCTTGGTTCTCTACATATTTTATGATTTCTATAGTTGAACACTGCTACAATGTAATCTCCAAGTCCTATGAAAGAATACTTACTGTGAAAATCAGAAGAACTGGCAATACAATACTGAGGTAATCTATAGCCAGTGTAGAGAAGTAATGCACAAAACCTTTATGACCAGGAAGGGCATCATCATTTTTCTTCAATGAATTCTTCCTAGTATTATCTAAAACAAGACAAAAATAAGGGAAGAAGCAATCACTTTCCAGATCTACTCTGAACAGTAAAAGAAGCTCGTGTTATTGATCAATGATGTTAAAATTCGAAAATCCATGAACATAACATCCATAACATCAGATGGGGGCACCACAGCATAATCAAAAACTGGAGTAGAGCATGGTAAAATTTCACATAATCGAGTTAAATTTATCAAAACTACATGCTGAGATTACGCAAAAAATTCAACCTGTCAACTTTCTGGTTCAATCTCGCAATGGCATATCTGAACCAAATGCTAAATGTGCAAGAATGCAGCATACTGGTAATCTTATACCACACTTCTAAATGATATCAACAACTCGCTCGTCTATTTCTTGTACAAATCGATCAGCTAAACAATCGCACTAATAGATCAAACGGGTCAAAAATTCCACAAAATCTGTAGCGAACTGACCTCCGCAGCTCCATTTCCTCAGAACGACCACAGCCTGCACAACCCAAAAAAAAAGGGGTCAAACCACAGCACCAACTAACCTACTTCAGCGGGGGTAACTAAGCAACTCACCGGAACCACGGTGGAGAGCGCGGCGATCTCCAGCAGGGAAGACCCCGTCAAGTTGCTGACGAACCTGCGCGAGGCGAAGAGGACGGTTCTTAGGAGGCGTACCAGCGAGAGGTTTTCAGGGGGGGTTTGGGGGACATTTTGGGACTCACTGCTCCTTGAGGAGCTTGTGCGCGTTGATGGGCTCGTCGTCCATTGGTGGCGCCTGCTCGAGGGGCGGTGGTCGCCTCGCGGCGGCGGCGGCGGAGTGGAGGAGAGGGGAAGCAGCGCAACTGCGCCGGGGGAGAGGGAGAGGGGGGGGGATCTGAACTGAACTGGATCGCGCGCGACGGCGGAAAAGAAGGCGAGAAGCCGAGAAGAGAAACCGAAGGAGGAGAAGGTGTGGCGCACGGGCCAAGCCGGAGCAGAAAGGAAGAAAAATGGCACTCTCAAAATATAAAAAGTAAATTGTACTAGTTGTTCGTATAAGCTTGTAATGAGGTTTTATCTAGATCTACAAACTTGTAGAACGTGCATCGATATTCTTAAAATTAGTTTATTGCCATGTGAATGATGATGTGACACTTTTTAATTTTTTTCCCTTTTTTTTCTTCTTTCTTCCTCTCTCCGATAAGCAGCGACACTGACGACCACGACGGGTAATGGTGATAGCGATGGCAGGCCAAAGGAATCATTAAAGGGGCCGCCACCACTGGTATCATCGTTGCCCGCTGCCTCCAATGGTGGCGCCGCTTGCTGGAGGGAGGACTAAGGAGAAAAAAGAAGGAAGAGAGTAGATAATAAAAAGAGTAAATTTCACTTTGGCCATGTATATTTATCAGATTGGCGCATTGGACCAGGGCTAAACGTATGTTTTCACTTAACACCACATTTCTTTACCATACTTTACAGGTTGGACCAGAGTTTAGCATCTGGGCCATCAGGACAGCTTCGGGCTAGTCCATGTGAAGCGTTTGCTTGTATGGAACCTCTTCGCTTCTCTGTGTCAACCCCTCCATGTCCACTAAAGCCGCATCGTGAGCTTGGCCTCGGCACGTAGACATCGGCTGTTATCGACGTCTCTTCAGACTCTTCAAAGGCCTCATCATGTTCGGCGGGGCGCGTCTTCCGACCATGTTGTTGGCGTCAAAGCCAAGGACCATTCTGGTGGACATCGACGCCATCACATACAATGGCATCCGGACTCCGAAGGGCAGAAGCTGTGGAACCGCCCGGATCGCTACTTGGCTTGGTGGAGGCAGTCTATATATGCTATATTAGTCTGTTATTCGGTCTTGGAATGTATCATAGAGAAAAATCAAAACGATGTTAAAGTCTGCAACTCAGGTGTGTTTTGGGGCTTGCGGGATTTTATTCCTGTGTACCTTGTGAGTAATCAATTTGTGTTCCTTACTCCTGAGTTCAATTGGTATAACATAACTTTAAAAAGAAAGTTTGGTTCTTAATTAATGCCAAATGGAATAGTTGGGCCCTTATTGCTTCACATAATCTGGAAGCCAATATTTAGGTCTGATATGATTTCAAAATCTATTGACCTAATCATGTTAGCAAAAGTTTTTCAACTTCTAAGTGGATCAGGGGTCATATGCATGAACAGAACACCACGGCATCGGCGATTCGGCGTGGAAGTCGTGGCCCTTGGCCCCAACATTGGTTACGCTCCTGTACAGGATGACGTTGGGATCCACCTTGCCGATGATCACCAGTCGACAGAAATGCCCTTGGTTAAGGGGCGGAAGCTGTAGCCTGTAGGCAGCAGCGCTATCGAGGAGATCTCACGCCGTCGCTGCTCCCCACCAAGCGTCGACGCATACACACGCCTGGACTCGCCCCCTCCACACAAACAAGCGCTTCACGTGGACTGGGCCGAGGAGGCTTTCCTGGTGGCCCAAGGGATAAGCCCTGGTCCAACCTACAAAGCATGGTAAAGAAAGATGTTGTCAAGTGAAAATATAAGTTTATCCCTGGTCCAATGTGCCAATCAGGTAAATATATATGACCCAAAGTAAAATTTACTCTAATAAAAATATACCATGTAAGTTCACGTGGCATGCCACGTATGCAAGATCATTGTCAAACAAGACTGTGAATCGAAGTGATATAATAAATCAAGTTTAGAGACATCGATACGCGTTTGCAAATTTGTGGACATAGGTGAAACCTCTTTTTCAAATTTAAGGAAATTTAAGTACTAATCGTGCAATTTACTCAAATATAAATATAGGTAAATTGCACTTCTGACTAAAGTTTCACTTTATATTATTCTTATAGTATTTTTTTTCATTTTGAACTAGTTATTGTTTCCACATGTTACCCTTTAGATAGGGTGGCCTATATAAGTGAATTATGTACAATAAAGGTAATTAGTCTCATTGATATGTGGGTCAACCAGTTTAAAGTGCAACATTTGGCAATAATACGCCCAAAGTAAAAAAAAACACTTTGAGGATAGATTAAAGTAAAATTTTGATAAAAATATGTGGCCCAAAATGTAATTTACTCTATAAATATCAGTTGTGTGTTTTGTTTATAGAGAAATTGGCACGTCAAATTATTTGGTTTAGTTCAATGTCAAAATGTAATTTTGGCATTGAAGTCCTTCCCAATTCATGGAGAAAATATTAACAATGGCCAATTTGGCAAGGCTAAGAATTGCAATAAACCAAAACAAGTCCTAAATTTGTGTAGCTCTAAAAGTTTGGGGGAATACTCGTATTTCTAACTGGTTTGTAAATTAAGAATGAAAATCAAATCGAAGTAAAAGAAGTCATTTCTCAAGCTGGTAAAAAAAATACTATTTTAAGAAAAATCAAACCAAAATATATGTGAAATGCTCATGCTGTGGCTACTCGAAATGAATTGTATTTCAAAAGAAAAGTTATGGAATTACAAAATCACCTTTGAAGACAAAACCTACAAATGGTTAAAATTATATTGACATGAAAAGTTTAAGTACATTTGCAAAACTAAAAATACTTGACCAAACCATCGTAAAGCTACCAATTTAAGACGTTTATTACCAAAATATAGTTTTAGCACCTACTTTATCATGGATGAGACTACATATTTAAAGCAGAGTATCATGAAATTACAATAGTAGTGAAGTTATCATAAAACCAAAATTTGCAGTTTAGATCATGACGGTATTATTATTTTTGAGTTATAAATATTCTAGTTGTGTTATAAAAAATGTTACTATAGTTTTTCAACAGTTTGAGCAAAGTATCAAACGATCAAACTGTCAGGGTTATGGATACCACATACCTAATAGTAGTTGACTAAATCTAGACAGGACCCACCACATACCATGTCTTATACGGAAACAACCTTCGAATATAGGAGAAGTTCCGCATAAGGAAGGATGAATAGAGTTCTACATGGAAACGACAAGAACTACTCGGATTGTATCCATATTAGTTTCTCTAGTTCTACTTGGACAAGGGGATATCTGTGGGTATAAATACAAGGCCCCCTAGGAGGAGAGGGGACACGGAACAATAGATCAACATACAAGCCAACATGCATCAAAACAAGACGCCGGATATCGACTTCAGAGATAAGCATGGCTAGTCCCCTACGGTGTCTACGGATACTGTCAGGAGAGACATAGCACTATCTTTGACCTCGCTGGATGCAGATTCAAGGAGGAAGGCTACCCTGTTGTCGACTACGAGTCAGCACTTCAGACCGCCAAGTCGACAACAGTTAGATAGACTACCCCACATATTGTACTGGTGTGATTATGGTGAATAAAGAGCAACACCGGCTTCGGCAAACAGGATGTAGGGCTATTACCTGTAAGATAAGGGGCCCGAACCTGTATAAAAATCCTTGTCCCCGTCTCTTTTACCTAAGTCTCGCATATATCCTAGTACCAACGATCCCCATACTATGCAAATACCGGAATCGCGACATCAAACGTCGACACAAACAGTTTTTAAAAAATTACTCTAATAGTTTTGTAAAATTTACTCAAATTTAATCGAAATTAAAGAAGTTTGACTTATGACAATACAAAAACAACTTATTACAATATGGAACGGAGTAGTAATGAAGGGAGAGAGTTTCCCCTTTTACAACACAACACATACGGAAAATTTTATCGCTGTAAGAGGGAAATGTTTGCGTATAATAGGCCAGTACTATGCTTAGATAATTTTCCAAATTAAAAGGGAAGAACATTCCTCACTAAATTCATGGAAAACGGATCTGATAATTTGCCAACAAAGTGAACCGAAATTGTGTGCTTATAAGGTTGTCCAGATCGCTGCAAGAGGGAAATGTTTGCATATTATTGGCTAGTTCTATGCTTAGATAAAATTTCCAAATTAAAAGGGAAGAACATTCCTCACTAAATTCATGAAAAAGGGATCTAATAATTTGTCAACAAAAGTGAACCGAAATTGTGTGTGTTAATAAGGTTGTCCACCGATGTTGGCAGAAATACCTTACACCACTTAAAACTCCGTATAAACCCAAAAAAACAAATTATCAGAATGGCAGTTAAACTCTGGATGTAAAAATAAAAAATAAATTGTCAAGAATGGGATTCGAACCCATGCCCTTTCGGACCAGTACCTGAAACTGGCGCCTTAGACCAACTCGGCCATCTTGACTCTTACTAGCTTGCAGAACATTGACAATATAACACCTCAAACATCTTAGGAGGATTACCATTTTCCAACGATTTTCTTGCATGCTTCACAATTAGGGGAGGCATGCATAACAAGTGGATCTGAGACATATCACGTACATGAGCAAAGCTAGGTTATTCCATCATCAAATAAATAGAATAAGTAAATGGCAAAATGCTCTACAAGTCCTGTACATACACACATGCTATCCTTGATCTCTCCTCTAAGGCTCCCACCCAGCTCTTAAAAAGGAGAAAGAATACAAAGAATTGAACTCGTACACTATGGTACACATAACAAACATCTATTCCTGTCGTATATATATGTGATTCCTCTGCACAAAGGTCAGCGTCAGCTGATGCGTGTGATTATGTACCGGCCTTTCTCCAAGTCGTATATGATCTTCGTCTTGGGCTTCCTCCATCTTGCCAAGCAAAGTGCTCCACCTAGAAGAAACACCCCCAGCAGCACAGCAAGCAATGGTCTACTTCTATGGGCTGATCTACCAGTTGCTGATGGCTCTACAATTACGCCTTTTATGTTTGAGATGAAAGCCCCCAGGGCCCATTCAACTTGAGTGTCTCCAACCTGATTTGAATACTCAATCCTGCGGATATAAGAACATTTAAATTTAAAAGTAGGTAAGCATATAAGATCGCTGAAGAGTGAATTTCAGCGGAAGATTGATGTGCCATGGTATTCTTGCCTCTTGTCATCCAGTGGTACACCAAGACTGTCGTGCAGTAGAGCTACAATATATGCGGATGAGAAGCAATAACGTGAAAAATCATCATCTGACCGATTAGGATACATTTTCCTAAGAGTAGACAAGTCCTTGTTGCAAAATTGTTCTCCAGCAAGCACAAAATCAGACAGTGATGAAGATTGCTTCAGTCCAAAGAACTGGCACATAATTATGTGAGTAGGTGTCCTAAGAAATGGAAAACATGTACAAGGAAAACAAGGAGGATGTAGAGTTGAGGACCTTTGATGTAAAATAGAAATTTTCAGTTGCTAAGAAATGTCCACGAAGCTCAGGTACAAAAGTTGGTCCAAGTTGGCATTGTTGATATCGGCACTCTTCTGCACTTAGGACATAAAATTTCAGAAGATAAAAGTGGTAATGAACTGACACATCATGCTAAATTGACCTTGGGTCAGAACAAAGAAAAAACTCCAACAAAGTATTCAAGCTACAGAAGATATTAAGTCTATGAAATCAAAGAACCTCCCATCTTTGTTGATGTTGAACAATTGAAGGATAACCTGATATTTAACCATTATAACCTTGTTTATCTTCATCTTACTGGTATGATATTTTAGCTAATGATCACATATAAAACTTTTCTTCAGATCATTTTCATGGTATTCTTAAGCACACAAACAGTGAAAGTAAAAGAAAGAAATCTGTTAGCAACTAAGTAACCAGGTAAATAAAGCCTTTTAGGGATTAACAAAAAACATGGCACATTCATTTCCTACCGTTGCCTTTTTTCAGCAGTGCCAAAGAAGAAGATCTGCACACTGTAAAGTCTCCATCCCCACTATCAGCAAATTGATTCTCTAATTTTGATTTTGAAGCACTGCTTGGTCTTGATATTACTTCTTTGATGCGAGAATATCCTTTAGGAGCACATGGATCAACAAGTGTACCATTTTTGGAGTCTGCAACCACATGAGTCATGATAAGGCACTGCTTTGAACTTCAGTACATGCAGCCAAGTTCCTCTAAAAGCTAATTAACGAAAATAAAATAGAATTTGTGTATTCATATTGGTTTCATTCAGAGCATAAAATGCATAAAAGAATAACAATACAATGATGGATGCAAGTACATAACAGCTTTGATATTCAACCCAGCACTCATCAAACTTAAAATGTACAACTGTTGCTTTGAACTATAGTCCTGACATATTTGTGTCACTGTAGCACATCAGAAGTAGAATAGCCATAGTTAGTATACTAATTATTGATGTTCTATTGGCTAACATCAGCACATCATATTTGTTAGCTGTGAATAATATTCTGATATTCTCATTTCTGGGAACTTAGTGTTCCCTTGTCAACCTAGCTACCATTGTAAGGGATGCCAAATGTCTATTTTTTTTGCTATCCTTTACATTGAAAGAATAAGTAAAAAGATACCTTTTGACCGCAGTATTTCACGGAAGGATTCTTGTGCAGCATTCTGCAAAAGAAATTGAATCATATGGTCAGCATATCGTATCATATTACAAGATTGTCCATAACATAAGTGGTGGGTGATTCAATGTATACAAATAGCTCACTTGTCCAAAGTTTAGAAAGCTGTTGCTATAGAGAGTATATGTTGTTCCACCAAAAGTGAAATTTCTTGACAGTTCCGGAGGAAGTACTTCATCAGAAACAAATGTCAGCTGAAACAATAAGCAATAATTAGATTGGCAGAAAATCATTAATATAACCAAAGCATTAAGCACCGTGTTAACATTGATATTCAAATGTGGAGCTTGGTTCTAGATAACACCATCTCAGGTAAGTGAGTCTTTTCAGATTAAATAACTTAACTTTATTACTTATTAGTACCATCTTATTAGCATGGATTTTAATTTAAAGAGGATTCATGGCTCAAAATCAAAGGAAAGGAAAGGAATCAAAGAATTTATCTGTCTTTATCAGAGAACCTGTGCTGAGGCGCCCCCAAGTTCAATTATTCCAATGGTTTTGTGTGGATCCCCTCCAAGTGTGCCAAGAGCATAGTTTGCCGCAACCCAAGCATAGATACCCTCATCAGAGCCTATAAGAAATGAACCAGCCAAAAAATGAGCATCCATACTGACAATATTTCAGCTAATGATGAAAAACCATCTGTATCCACCATCCAATGGATTTTCCCTTTACTGATTCACTACCCAAATTACTTTATACACCGCTTTCCCTTTCGAATAGCCGGATTCAGTTTCTTGATGCCTCTCACTAAACCAGAATATAAACCGAATTGAGGCCGTATTTCTCAGGAGTACTACACTTCAACCCGCAACGATACAGCCTAGAGAAGAAACAACGGTAATATCCACTACACATTTTTCAGAAAATCATTCATTTCAGGAATCACCAATGTGCAACCATCACAACAACGACTGAATTGACAACCGCGGCTGTCTCAGCATGACACCTTAGCATTTCCATGGAATATGTCAGATTCATCACCAGATTCAAATTCTAACGTCTCACCTAAATCGAATTCCCAGTCCCCCATCTATAAGGCAACCAGCTATATCACTTGAGCATTACGAACTGGGAAGAAATCGACACTACCTGGGATCACCTCGGCCCAAGAGTCCTCGAACCGGAATCCGGAAGCCCTGAGCACGTCCCTGCAGGACGACAGGATGGCCTCCTGGAGGCGCCCCTCCTGCAGCCGCAGCCCGGCGGTGGCCATGAGCCGCACTTCCGCCGCGGCGCCCCCGACCTTCTCCCTGGCGAAATCAATCAGCGGCCGCAGCGAATCCCCGGCCCGCGCGGGCTCGTCGGCGAACGAGGAGAGCCCCGGGGTGACGCGCATCACGGCCGACCGCGCCAGATCCGGCCGCCCGCCGGGCCCCGTGGCGAAGACGTGCGCCCGGCTGCCGGTGCTCCCCCCGTCGATGATGACCGCGAAGCGCGGTGGCGAGGAGGAGGGGGAGGGCCGCGGCGGCTGCAGCTGCGGCTGCGGCTGCGGCGGGGAGAAGAGGTGGGCGAGGGAGGAGACGAGGAGGGCGAGGAGCGCGGTGCCGAGGCAGATGCCGCAGAGGCGGCAGCGGCGGCGGCGGGGGCGAGGGGAAGGGGGTTTGGTGAGGTCGGGCATGGCGGGGACACGGCCGGGGCGCGCCCGGCCGGTACCGGCACCGCCGCCGCCTCTTTGACTCGTCGGCGGCGAGGGAGACGGCGACGACGACGAGCTTTATTTTTTATTAATTATTAATGGATTTTTAAATTTCCAGGGAGGGGCGTTTTTATAGTACAGGCTGGCACTTGGACGGCGGGGGTGGAGGCGCCCTCCAACTTTACGTAAACTTTAAACCGAAACGTAATTACGTAAGCTTAGAGTTTTTCAATACAGAAATGAGAAATCAGAAGTGTTTCTGAATTCTGAGCGACTATGAATTCAGAGTATAAATAAATTACTACTGAACTCAACGTTCCAATCTTTTGAGTTGCAAATTTATACCACTGAATTGGAAATTTTGGAATATATATATTGAAGAAAGAGGGCGTCTCCGGGGTAATAAGTTACCCCCAAATGCTAGTACAACTGAACTTTCTATGCAAAGAACAAAGAATCTGTTCGTTTCAGTTTAAATCTCAACAATCTGACAGCAATGTGCGGATCCACAAATGGTTGATTTGATCGCGTGGTTGTCTAGAGCCTGAGCTCCAAGTCCAATTCTTTCCCGGCGCCGTCGCCGGCAGCAGCCTCCTCGTCGTCGTCGTCGTCGACGAGGTTCACAAACGGAATAATACTCTGAGATCTACTCGCCGCCGCAGTCGTCTCGCCGTGCAGCTCCATCTGCGGCTGCGCTCGACGGCGGCGATAATCCTGCAGCTGCATCCTGTATAGCTCCTGCATATATATCATTAGAGCAGTGTCAATTATATTATAGAGTAAATTTCAGAAAACTGCAATTTAAAAAAACTATTCGTTTACTGCAATTTTAGCGATATGTTTTAGTTTGCTTCAGCAATAGTGTGAAAAATTATTACAAAACTGTAACTTTTACGTTATATACTGCTACAGTATATATGTAACAACTGTAGCAGCAAATTAACTATTATATTATATTGCTACTATCTAGTAACTAATTAACTAGCAGAATTTCTCGCGCAATTGCACAAGTACACATATATATACCTGATCAGATGAACCCTGTTGCTGTCTTAGGAGAGGGGACGCGTTCACGACGCACTTGCCTGAAGCATCCTGATTGATCTGACGTTGGAAATAAGCTTGGCTGCTGCTGCTGCTGCTGTTTGATGCAAGTAATAGCCTGCTAATAACACAATTAAACACGCAGAATTAAGAAAATTTAGTGATTAGCAGAGGGTAAAATGGAGGCTAGGTCAGGACGAGTAGGAAGTAAGATTTTGCTCTGACTTTGTCAGTATCAAAAGGCAAAATTAAGCTAGGCACGTGCCTGGTCAAAGCATCATTAGGAGTAGTAGTGTAATGCTGCTGCTTCTGCAGTGGCGATGAGCCGTAATAATACGGAGTGAAATGGTGATCTCTTGTTCGCGCTGCTGCTCCATTTCCAACCTGCACATATAAATACCAATATCATCGTCAGCTAGGGTTTTGATTGGATGATGTAAGAAAAAATTCCTTGATTTTCACGTACGTATTGTTGTTGTTGTTGTTGTTGTTGGTGGCCGTAGCGCACGCCGGCCACGTGAGACGGCAGCAGCGGCGGCGGCGGAGGTGGTCGTAGTTGCGTACCCACCGCCGCCGCCGACGATGACGACGACGACGAGGGCAGCAGCGACGGCGGGATCATGAAGAGGCTCTGCGCCGCCTCGAGCTGCACTCTGATCCTCTCCAGCTCCGCCACCCCGAGCCCTCGCCGCGGCTCCCTCCTCATCACCGCCGCCGCCGCCGCCCTCTCGCCGTAGCCGGACCCGCCTCCTCCTCCGCCGCCGCCGCCGCCACCAACCGCCTTCCTCTTCTTCCCGGCGATCCCTCCACCTCCACCTCCGCCGCCGCCGTTCTCCATGGATCGCCACATCGATCGATCACACAAACCAAACGCCGCCGAGCACGCGCGCGTCGATCGTCAACCGATCGATCGGCTACTTCACTGCGCGGTTAAAAAAGAAGAGGGAGAGCGATCGATCTGCTCGATGGGGAAACTAATTAACCGAGCTGTATCGATCTCGGCATTGATCGGCAAACATGAATGATCAGATACGCGTGTGGTGAGCTTGCATTTCCGTCATTAACTTCTTGTTGTCTCCTGCGAACGAACGAACGGGATCCCAAATTCGGCAGGGGGGGGCGCCGCCATGGATACTGTCGAGATATGCATGCGGCTATAGTAAGGAAACAAAATCCCGTGTCGATTATATTCCGGGGGGCAAATTAATTCTCTCGATCTCTGGGTTGGCAATGCAGTTTTTATGTTCGTGAGATCTTTTTCACTTGGGTTTGTTGGCATGTGATTATGTTCGTGATCTCTCTAGCTATCTGTGTGCTAGCTATAGCGAATTAAGAGCCGAGATTCATAATTAATTAATTTAGCTAGTAGAGCATCCCCATAGGTTTGGATGTATTTTTGGAGCATTGCATGCATAGGTTGTGAATTTGGTGGCGGTTTTGTTGTCAGATGGACTCCTAAACAGGATAGAGTTTAATTTATGCGTTGTGGAGATTTTCAGATTATAGCATTAATTTGTCCCCATTTATCAGTTTTTTTTATGAGGATAACAACGTTGGCTCATGAACTGTAGAGGCTGTATTTGATTTACGTTGGCATGAGTAGAGAGTTAGCACAATGTAAAGAAATGATTTTTCATACACCCTCAGTTTTTTGGCAAGGTTAAAAAGAACCGTCTATACTACAATGGAGCAACTTGGACTACCCCCCACAGGTCTTTCCTATCCGTCCGATCCACTCGAATTAACGCACGGGATTAAGTCTTGGATTTTCCGAAGGAAACACGCAATCCTCCTTCAGTCCCACGACCCCTAGCCCACGTGCTCCGCCTCCGCCTCACCTCTCGATCGATAACACGCCTGCCCTCCGTGCCTCCGCCTTCCCTTGACCTCGACCGGTAACCGCACTCCGCCTGCACCCAGCCTATCTCGCCATCGCGATCACTTCGCCTGAACACCGCTGCCATCGACTGACCCCTCGCCTTCTCTCCACCGGCAACCGCGCGCGCTCCCGCCGGCGTCGCCTCTCCTCGCCATTGCCCTGCCTGAACGCTGCCGCCGACTGACCCCTTGCCTTTTCCTAGGCTGGCAACCGCGCTCCTGCCGCCGACTGACCCACGCTCATGCCTTCCATTGGACCTGCACCATCGTCTGCCTTTGCACAGCCTGGTAAGCATTATCCCTGCAAAAAACACCAGCGAATTGTATACAGGCCACTTCAATTCACTTCCTTTCAGGTCTTTTTCCATCTTTCAGGTCTCTTCCCTACACAGATCTTACCAACAGGTTAACACTGACATATCTCCATGTCTTCTGTCTTGGATCAAGTTTTCTTTCAGAACTTTAAAGTGCAGACCCGTCAGTTATTGTATCCCCAAAGATGTTTCAAATTGATATGAACATAATGTGAGTTCAAGTAGTGGGATGTTTATGAGCTTATTACCAAACTGCAGATGTGCCAGGAGCACTGATGATGTACCAGAAGGGGATGATACTGCTGAACAAGGAGGCGTATCGGATGGGCTACAGGGGAGGCCGTCCAGCCTGAAGGACCCAATTCAGACTCGGCGTCCGGCTAGACAGGCCAAGGCGAATCCTCGTAATTATGGGCCTGATTGGGCCATGTAAGTGTGCTGTTGAAAGCTGTGTGAATTGGCGTGTGTGAGGGGAAAGAACGAGTGAGTGGGTGAGATTCAGACATAAGCAATGTAATGAACTGAATTAAAACTCAGAACGGGCAACTTGGTGGCGATGGCGGCGGCGGCTCAATCCTGTTGGATTGGAGCATTGTAATCTAAATTGGTTGCCCTATTTCTTGTGTTCTTCCTGAATTATGTTGAGGTGTTCGAGTTAGAAGAGTTGTTTACAAGATGGCCTAGTCCTGTCATTCTGCACATTAGTGTTTGTAGTCTAATTTTCTGAACCAAACAAGCATCTTACATTGGCTGTGTTTGAGCATCCAAAGTCTCAAGATTTGCTATATTATCTCCTGATTTTGGCATGTGCTATGTGAATTTCATAATATGATCTTTAACAATCATATTTTGCTTGTCAAATTTGAGGATATGTATTGATCAGTAAAGGGGATATTTGTTGCTTCTGAACCTGTACATGCAATTGTTGTCAATCTTTGAGTTATGATAATTTATTAAATATTTAGTCACGTGGATTTCACGTGCATGCTTACTAGTATGTAAAATGTAGAAAAAATAGGAGGGGGCCCAATAAAAAACCTACCTACATGGTTTATTTTCGTAGTCCCGCTCCCTCTCCTTTTCTCTCCTCCCATGCGTTAATTCCTTTTCCATCCTCCCTATTACTTCACCTATCCTCCTTTCGGCCTCTCCTCCCTTTATCTCCTCTCCTCGACGGTTGGTAACCGGATCCGATAGCGGCGAAGGGGTGGGATGAGTGGTGGTGGAGGCGTCAGATTTGCCTCGTGCGGGAAGGGGCGATGCCGTGATGGTTGCTAGGGTGACCACGACGACGGTGGGGAGGGGCGAAACATCGGCTAAGTGGGACCACGACAATGACGGTAGACTCGAGGTATGTGGATCCGTCGGTAGCAACAGGAGAAGCGGATCCACCGGTGACCTCTCCCTTCCATCGCTTCTCCCCATACTTAGCGCATGGATCCGCCATCGCCGGGCATATGGGAGCAGCAATGACGACTGTAGCAGCCTCAGGAGAATGGATTTGTCGCCGCCACCGGGCATATGGGAGCAGCAACGACGACTGTAGAAGCCTTAGGAGAATGGATTTGTCGCCACCGGGCGGCATGGGAGCAGCAATGATGACTGCAACGGCCTCAAGAGAACGGATCTACCGCCGCCGACCTCAATAGCAGATTTACTGCCACCAGGCATGGGAGTGGCAACGACGACCGCAATGGCCTCGGGAGTGCGGACCTACCGCCGCTGGCCTTGGGAGTGGTGGATCCGCCATGCATGGGAGGATCGACTAACGACTACGGTAGCCTTAGGAGTGCGGATCGAATGCTGCCTGCCTCAGGAGCGGTGAGTGGTGACTAAAGATTGTGGTGACCTTAGGGGCAGCGGTGACAACGACCCTGGGCATGGGAACGACGACCGCTACCAAGCTAGGGTTTCAAAAATTTTCTTTTTGGCTAAAAATTCTTTTTACAGGCAAGCATCGTGATGTGCCACATGCAAAAATCCTATTTTTCACTTGCAGTTGTGTTGATCGCCTAGGAAAACCTCAATTTTTACATACACCTAGCGCAAGGAGTTGCTACTTCCACCTATAAAGATGCATTTCAGCCATTTTAACCTTAGCCAAAAAAAATGAACTTGACATATTTTCATTCAACTTGATTGATAAGATGATTTATATGTAAGTGAAGTAGTAGAATAGATCGAGGAGTCCAAGGAAGAAACGGTACATATCATACATGTCATCGCTTTATAGGAAAACAGATACTTTACCCAGTTATAAATATTTAAGCAATGTCTGATCCATTTTTTTCAAATTTTTGACCATTAATTTTATATATCAGTATAAGTTTATAAAATCCAATAAGTTCATGATATATAATATTATTTTTCAATGCAAATGTAGGTATACTATTTTGTTTGTGTTTTACACTAAGCATTTGAGAAACTATTTATCAAAATTTATTCTGATTGTCAAATATTTATGATAGAATAGAGCAGGACAATTAAATTGCACACTTTATATCGAGCTGGACATTTCCTTTTTGTTTTCTCCAAATCCCTGCATATATATGCAGTCGCGCGCATGCATCGATGATTTACCCAGCAAAACACACATATGATACGGCCGAGATCAGCCAGCTTAATTAGTTAATTATTGTTGGACCATTAGATTTGGCGCGCTGTAAATTTAAGGGCGGAGCTAGAACGAAATAGAGAGTAACACTTGCTTAATTTACTTTAGATCAAATTTAAGCAGATGTGGATGTATAAGTTTGTATTGAGAGGGTGTATATATGGTGAAAATAAGTAAGATATGGCTACAAAATTTTGTTTGACCGGATTCGTGGGCAGCCCCTCGATCGGCCCTCCCATACTCCACTCCACCTCCGCCCTAAGCTAGCTAGCTCTCGCCACTTGGATTATTTGGTTAATCCTGCATAGGTTTCATTTAATTTTAGGCTGGTTCTTCAAGCTCGATCATCATCTCGTTCAAAATTCAGGCACACGTATGATGATTACATGCATGATGCAAATTGCAACTTGTTCTTCTTCTTCTTCTTCTTTCGTCCCCTGCTATCAAATCTCTGTCCGCTAAAGTTGTACACCTGGATTTTCTAGGCATGGATGAGAGCTCAACTGCCACCACTAACTTGTTAGGATTTGCAGCTTAAATTCGACAGCATTTAATTTATCCACGTGGCGCATAGTACCATAGATAATTACACAGCAAATCGGTCAGCCGGTGTGCAACACTCTGGTAAATAGATATAATAGATTGATCGATCTGAGAAGAAGGCAAGAGAAACAAGTAAAACTTTAGTTAGGTTGTTTCTCTGAAATATTGTAACGTTTTCCATCGTGACCTACTAATTTTGGCTCATAGTACTATATACTAGTACTATGCAAATGGGGGCGATCTAAACTAATCTTTCCGGGTGACAGGTGTTCTCTCTCAGGATGTTTCTCGCAGGAAATTTTAATTCTTAGCTCATCATGCAATGGGCAAGCTTCAATCTCATATGACACAGCCACATATGACATTTGACTGGTGACTCACCATCTTTCCAGCACATTGCTCTCTCTCTCCAAATCACCATACCACCCGAACTGATTTATTTTCCTTTTTATTATGATATTTGCACCTGTGCAATGCCAAAAAAAAAAGAGCATGGATTCCCTAAAAAAAAAGCATGGATAAAATATTATACATAACCAACCCACACTCACACAGTTATATTAACCATCACATTTACTATCGGATCGGCTCTACAATTTCGAGGGCCTAGGTAAATTTGATAGTTCGACACTATAGGCTCGTAAGGCTTTTCTTTTTAACTGTAACATAAACTACACATGTGTCACAACCGCCAGATCGAGGACAAACCGACGGACATGATGCCCGAGATATTCAATGGCTCAATGCCTCAACTGAAAGATCTAAAATACTCAACACGCTTGACACCCTAGATCATCAAATTAAATTGCCCTTCTAAACATGGCTGTCCGCACGCCTTTTTTGGCACGATATCGATTTGATTTGAGGGCTGAGGTTCCCTTTGGTTTGTGCCTTAGGCGATCCCACAACCGGCCTTAGCCTAGAGCCGCGACCCTGCTCTACTCACAACTAGTAACAATTGGGGAAACTCTATTCATTTCTTAAGGGAATATCCCCTTATTTTTTTTATGTAACTTAAAAGTCATAAAAAATAGAAAAAAATAGTAAGATAGATCAATATGTGATATGTCACTTCACAAACATGCACGTTCAAATTCAACTTATACAAGAAAAAACAAAATAACAAATTTGACTATGAATAGAACGCGTAACCGCAGTCAAATTTATTATTTTTGTTTCGAATCTTATATTTCAAATTTTAACATGTATGTTTGTGGAAAGGTATTTCATATATTGATTTATCTTCATAATTTATTTTCAAATTTTTGATGATTTTTTAAATAACAGACACAAAACAAGAGGATATTTCCTCGAGGGATAAAAATCCATCTCCAACATATTGTGCACTAAACTATTGGGAACGCAATTTTGTGTGTTTAATCTTATGGAAATCGATTTGAATCCTTGAAAGGACACTCATAAGTGTATAATATACTCATAGATATAATTTAAACTATAGTGCTTTAATTCTCAACATTTTGACAAATTAAGCTGAATATGAATCTTTCCTTGTCCTTACCCAGAATGCAACAAATCAAATGAATCCACCAGTCCATCACCATATCACTATTATCATCCTCTCTCGTTTTTTTAGGACGGTTTTTGATTTAATAAGCAATTAACGAAAATGGTAAATATCCCTAAACTATTAAGCGCAAAATATTGGCATTGAGACCCAATATAATGGCCCCGCCGTGTCGCTGTCCCGTCCACGTGCCCCCCGAGAGCTGAGCGATAAAAATCCAACTGCTCAGCTCAGCTCAGCTCAGCCTCCGTTGTACATCACTCTCCTCTCCTCTCTCTCTCCAGAGGCCACGGCAGCCGCCACCGCCCGGAGAAACAATGGAGGCCGGCGAGGCAGCCGGCGCCGTCCTCTTCCTCCTCGCCGCCGCCGTCTCCCTCCTCGCCGCCGTCTCCACCGGCGCCCTCGACTTCACCTACCTCGTCACAGGTTCCAAGATTTTCTTTCCATTTTTATTTTCCCATCCAAGTTAATTAGCTTCTTGCTTTCAGTGAGCTGAGCTCTTGTCGTGGTACGTTCCCAGTCGTCGGCGAGGGATCGTCGACGTCGCCGGGGAGCGGCGGCGGCGCGTGGTGGCGCGAGGCGTGGGTGGGGGCGCGGTCGCGCGCGGTGGCGCCGGCGCTGCAGGTCGGGGTGTGGGCGTGCATGGTGATGTCGGTGATGCTGGTGGTGGAGGCCACCTACAACTCCGCCGTCAGCGTCGCCGCCAGGCTCGTCGGCTGGAGGCCGGAGCGGTGGTTCAAGTGGGAGCCCCTCGGCGGCGGCGCCGGCGCCGGCGACGAGGAGAAGGGGGAGGCTGCTGCTGCTGCTTATCCCATGGTCATGGTCCAGATACCCATGTATAATGAGCTCGAGGTAATAACCAATCAATTCAACAAGATTCAAATTAGACACAAATACGGCCGAATTCAAATGTTTTGGATTCTTGGGTGTAGGTGTACAAGTTGTCAATCGGAGCAGTTTGTGGGCTCAAGTGGCCAAAGGAGAGGTTGATAATCCAAGTTTTGGATGATTCCACGGACGCATTTATCAAGGTATCTCTCCTTTTTCTTATTGTTAGGCAAGTTTCTGGCTGAATGATATGATTGAGATGTCCAAACTCCGGGTTTTTTTTTCGTCAGGAGCTTAGACCTCTGAAAATCTGTAATTAGTGTAGATTATCACTTTTTCTGTATGTTAGCTTAACGAGTTAGCATTGTTCCTGTGTGAAGACTGAAGAGTAATGAGTTGGATTAGTTGTACATAAGGATGACATTGCTTTTCACTTTCATATATCACTATCAGTATAAAAAGGAGCAAAAGCAACTAAGTTTCGTCATAGGAACCTAACCTTAAGTAGTTAACTGTCTTAGGTCCTAGGACTGAAAGCTAAGTCATGTGCCTGGACCATATGAAATGCACGTGATTACAGTAAAAGAGCATGTAGTCTAGTGGTTACAGTGACCTAAGTAGCATCCTAAAGTCCTGAGTTTAAATCTCCATAAGAGCGAATTTCAGATTGGGTTATTCGAGGGGCTAAGTTCTCAATTTGTAAGGTTGCATATATCTGGTTGGATGTAGAGGCCAGGTAAAAAAAAAAACCCTTCTCTAAGAAAAATGAAATGCACGTCATTGATCATTACCTTTTAAAGAAAAGGATGACGACATACCCTGTAGCTGTAAAAAACATGATCACTGTCATAAATGGTTAGTTTCATGTAAAGAAGTATTAGCTGATTCAAGTATCCTTGTCTAGACAATAAGTACTTAATCTTAAATAGTAATTTACTTGCATGAGACATCCTATTTGACAAACTACTATTTACATCAATTACCTTTGTGGCTTACTTTTTGTGTAAAAAGGCAGTTGTAGTTGGATAAAAGGCAGTTGCGGTCGGGATATCTCAGCATTTGGCATCTGGTGAACTGAATGATGTCACCTTTGACTGGCATGTGTAAATATTTTCTTATCCAAGCTGAAAAGTTATAAATTACCCAACTCAACCTCTAGTCGTCCTTAGTACATCTGTACATGTCATTTTAGTGTGCATATATTTGCAGTCCCTAGCACTTTGTTAACACAGAAGGGCAATAAATTAATCATCTACCTTGTGAAAATGTAATGAAAATGAACAAGAATTTACTTAATTTGCAGAATTTGGTTGAGCTGGAATGTGAGGATTGGGCAAGCAAAGGTCTAAACATTAAGTATGCCACCAGAAGTGGCCGCAAAGGGTTCAAAGCAGGAGCCTTGAAGAAGGGAATGGAGTGGGACTATGCCAAGCAATGCGAATATGTTGCCATATTTGATGCTGATTTCCAGCCAGAACCGGATTTCCTTCTCAGAACTGTCCCGTTCCTCATGCACAATCAGAATGTTGCGCTTGTACAAGCTCGGTGGGTTTTTGGTAAGACCTCATCTTTTGATATGTCATTGAGACTACCTTTTGCAGTTCTTGCTAGCGGGAAGTATTCAGTATATATTGGTAAGGTGACCAAAATTTTGCATTTGAAGTGGCCTTCTGTTAGCTCTTGATTCTTGTGGTGTTACAAAAGACAAAGATCGAAACAAATGGTTCTGTAGATAATATCACATCATTGAACTCTGATATAGCAATTTTATTTATTCTGATCTGTCCAATTTTTAGTTGACCGAATTTTACAGTGAATGACAGAGTAAGCCTACTGACAAGGATACAGAAGACATTCCTTGATTACCACTTCAAAGCTGAGCAGGAGGCAGGATCGGCTACATTTGCTTTCTTCAGTTTCAATGGTGCACACCTCGACTGTTCATGTTTTATGTAGATCACAAAAGGAACATGGTGATAGTCTCCTAAACACTGGTACCTTGTTAGGGACCGCTGGTGTATGGCGCACAGAAGCTATCAATGACGCAGGAGGTTGGAAGGATCGAACTACAGTTGAAGACATGGACTTGGCTGTCCGAGCAACCTTAAAGGGATGGAAATTCATCTATTTAGGGGACCTCAGAGTAAGAAGACCGAATCCTTAATTTGTTCTGTTCAATCACTCGACGATAGCATCTGATAAAGCAAATACGTCACAGGTAAAGAGTGAGCTTCCATCCACTTATAAAGCATACTGCCGACAACAGTTCCGGTGGTCTTGTGGCGGTGCAAACTTGTTCCGAAAGATGATATGGGATGTCTTGGTTGCCAAGGTACCATTTCTTCTCCTTTTTTGATGAACCAGAACAAGTAAATCTGCATAAAACATAACCTGCCACTGTTGCTCCGTCAGAAAGTGTCATCCTTGAAGAAGATCTACATACTGTATAGCTTCTTCCTGGTGAGGAGAGTTGTTGCCCCTGCTGTTGCCTTTATTCTCTACAATGTTATCATCCCTGTGTCGGTCATGATCCCAGAGCTCTTCCTGCCAATCTGGGGCGTTGCCTACATTCCTACAGCACTCCTGATTGTCACTGCCATAAGAAATCCAGAGTCAGTTCTCTCTTACAATCTTTGTTACAATTCTCAAACAGTTTGTTCATCGCTTTACCCTTTTGGATGAATTTGATTTGCCATAACTGTCTTTTCACTCCAGAAATCTGCACACAGTGCCACTGTGGATTTTATTCGAGAGCGTCATGTCCATGCATCGGTTGAGAGCTGCTGTAGCTGGTCTGCTGCAACTGCAAGAATTCAACCAATGGATTGTGACGAAGAAAGTGGGGAACAATGCCTTCGACGAGAATAATGAGACTCCATTGCTTCAAAAATCCAGGAAAAGGTTAATAAACAGGTAAAATTTATTTCTCCAATTTGCTACTGCAATCTTTAGATAAGCTGGTAGTGGTAGGTGCTGGAGTTCTGCATGCATGCTTAACCTGACATTGTCATTTGCTGCAGAGTGAATCTACCTGAGATCGGATTATCGGTGTTCCTCATCTTTTGTGCATCCTACAACCTTGTCTTCCATGGAAAGAACAGCTTCTACATAAATCTCTATCTCCAAGGATTAGCCTTCTTTCTTCTGGGGCTGAATTGCGTTGGCACTCTACCTGATCATTGCTGCTTCTGACAAATCAAGTCAAATCTGCTGCCGTTTCATCAATCTGATATGTGATTCTTTTCTGTGTTTAAATTTCTCCAGAAAGCATTTTTAAATTGTAGAGTACGTCACAGTTTATGTTGACCTGTAGTATTTTGCATAGTTACAAAAGGTCAAAAATGTCAATAACAATCCAGTATATATCAACAAATTCACAGGTCTGCCTTTTTGCTGAGTTTCTGCGCACATGGCTCCACCATGAGAAATCTTCCAAGAACACCCCAAAATTGTCAATCATCAAAGAGATCTTCCAAGAACATTCCAAAATTGTGAATCATCAAACCCCTTTTGCACTGGGATGTCAAGAACAGCAACAACCTTCCTAGTCAAAAAAGGACATTTCTGGTGTCCAAACAAACCAAATTCAGCCTGAATCCAAGCAAAATCAGCATGCATCCAAAATTGAAGTGATGGACCTTGTGTTGCTGCAAGAAGACGAAGTGCACATGTGGAGCCCAAATCCCAATCGATCGCCACCGCTTTGTCGGAGCTGCAAAATTGTGAGACAAAAAAGAAAAAAAAGGCTCACCTACCTCGAACCCTTTGGCGCCATGCGCATCATCAACCCAATCCACCGATCATCGAGAAGGCGTCTTTTCCTCCTCTATATCAAATCGAGCGAGAACGATAGCGAGAGCGAGGCAGATGGTAGCAAAAGCATCGCGAAGAATTATTAAGAGGAAATTGAAGAGATCGGGTAATGTCGCTCACCAATGCTCCCTCGTCGATGGTGTCGATCGTGACGCCGGTGACGGACAGGGACAGCGGGCGGACGGTGGCGGGCGTGCCGCCGGTGCTCGTCGGGGCGTCCGTCTCGTCGGCGCCGGAGCTGCGGGGGCGGGCGTACCTGGTGCACCACGTCTTCTACGAGGACGGCAGCGCCAGCGCCGACGGTGGCGGCGGCGTGGCCCCGGCGTCCAGGGCATCGATCGCGGCGCTGAGGGAGGTCGAGGAGGAGGATGACGACGGCGAGGAGGCGTCCGACTGCGCGATCTGCCTCGACGACGGGGAGGAGTCCAGGGAGACGTGCGGGAGCGGGAGGAGGAAGGAGATGCCGTGCGGGCACCGGTTCCACGGCGAGTGCGTGGAGCGGTGGCTGGGGATCCACGGCAGCTGCCCGCTGTGCCGGCACGAGATGCCGCCGGCGACGGCGGCGGAGGCGGAGGAGGAGGAGGTGGTGGTGGCGATGGTGCATGGGGAGAGGGTGGTGATGAGGGGGAGGCGCGTGGTGCTGAGCGTGCTGGTCATGGGCCGGGCCCACGATGACGGCGAGGGCCCGGAGCAACGCGGCACGGATCCGATTCCTCCTCTTCCGCGTGTGCTCATAGATGATGTGGATTAATTAATAACTCCTCTCAAATTTAAGAAAGGGTGATCTGGATTAACTAGGATTTTGCCGTGCTATCTATGTATATACTCGCATGCAAATGTAAGTATGCAATGCTTTCCCTTTGTTTAAGTATAAAGTAAATAGAAGGAATGTCGAGGTGCTTCTTTCTTTAAGGGCTAATTTACAGATAGCATTTTTTTTTCATAAACTAATCTTTTGATGAAAGGTTATTAGTAGTATTTTCTTATCTCCGTCATGGAAAATGAAAATGGATGTTAGTCTCTTTTTTTTCAAAAACCATCTGAATAATTTTTTTACCTGTTTTATCATCAAAAGAAACTGTAATCTACAATTTCTTAACTTATACTTTTACATATTTATACTATATTTTTTATGAAAAAATAAAAAATAACAGTGTCATATATTTTGGGGATGGAGTATTAATTATTACTCACTTTAAAATGAGCTTTTTAGAAACATTTTTTAAGAAAAAATATACTATTTTAATATAGTTTGAAAAGCGTACTAACTAAAAATGGAAGTTGCAGTGTGGATTTAGGCTATGTTCTTCCCAATGAGTTGAGAACCCATCTCACGCGCACATAAAACGAAACGATTTATTAGCACATGATTAATTAAGTATTAACTTTTTTTGAAAAATAGATTAATGTGATTTTTTTAAACAACTTTCCTATAGAAAATTTGTGAAAAAACATATCGTTCATTGAAGTTGGAGGAAAAAACACAACCTTAGATCACAGCTAACATATACTACGAAATACTAGTAACATGGAGTATCTGGACACATTCACGCTTTCCAGGGCCAAATTTCAGGGTTTACATCCTCTACCATAGTGGCACTCCAATTATAGACACTTATGTGTAGGACAATAGGAGAATGAGACCCACATACCAAGTGACTTATAATGATAGTGATATTATGGTAGAGGATCCCCACCCTAAATTTCGATGTGCTTCAATGATGAGAAACAAATGTAAAATGGGTGTGGCACATGAATTAAGCATCCAGTTAGAAGAGATTTTGGATTTACAGTCAGTAATCTCTGGTGCAAACATTGCAGCAGCACAAAAGCCATCATCACTCCATGGAGCCGAAAGGGCTACAATCAAAGTACCCGGGGCATAAAAAATTCAAAATTTGACGACTCTTAAAACGCCAAGCAAATTCATGTCGTCTAAGATTGGGGTTCACTAATCGTCACACGTGACCAAAAAGAAAAGAAGAAAAGGAAAGGAAAGGAAGATGAGAAGACTACAGACGGGGCAAGACACCTGACGGTGATGGAAGTAAGCAGTCGTACATCCCTTTGAGCCGGGACAGCAGAACCAGCTTGTCTTCCATGCCCACACCAGGCTTTGCCAGATCAAACATGTCTTCTCTCAAGCTGCAATCGGAAAACGATTTTTTTGGTTCACAGGCAATCAAACCTAGGTAGCCAAGGGAAGTATCAAAAAGAGCTATGAGTTTGAGACTCACCTTGACCACTCTCCTGTTTCTCTCGCCTGCGATTCAACAGCTTTGTATAGTCTATCAAGGGTGTACAGTGTTAACCCGAACTTACAGCATGCCTCTTCCTCCTGTAAAATTAGGAAATTCAGCCAGACATTTATTAGTACGTATTGTAATCCTAATATTTTTCAAGTTTGTAATTCGAAAGTCGAAAGAAAATGACTTTCTCATCAATACGAAAGCACTTCAATCTTGGATTTTCAAGACGAAGGTGGGGATGTCCAATCTTGAAAATGGCAGTTTCTTGTTTTCTCATACTAGGTGAAGGAATAAGGTTTTTGCAGACAAAATACAATAGGAAAGCGTTATATACTCCCTCTGTTTTTTCAAGTTGTTGACTTATGACATGACATTTAACCATTCATCCTATTAAAAAAATTTATACAAATGTCATTTGTTTTGCTGTGACATGTTTTATCATTAAAGAAACTTTAAATATGACTTGTACTTTAGTATATTTACACTAGTTTTTTTAATTAATAAGACAAATGATCAAACGTAATTCTGAAAGTCAACGGTGTTATTTATTAAAAAACGAAGGTAGTATTTCTTAGAGAAGGGAATAGCCACCAACAGGAAACCAGATCAAGTATTTTGTCCCTCATCCAAATAAATGTCAATGTAGTCTAATTTAAGATCAAGATAAGGTCATGTAGTCTAATTTAAGATAATGATAAGGTTACCATTCCATTAGCCATGCAATTCTGAAACTCCATAAGCCTTTTCTCTACATCAGCAAGAAGCAGCCTTCGCTGACGCCGTGCAGTCCTACCTCTTCCCTCAGCACCACGGCCCTATTTCATAGTGAGGACAATAATTAACCATATCTGAACCTAGTATTCCTATTATCTTTTTCATGCACACTTGTCCATGGTGAAAACTGCAAACCACTGGGATATAATATATCAAGATTATATCTCCTGCTAGTTGCGGATAGTGTTTTCACAATTTGTCCCCTTTTAGAAAATATTATTACAAATAGACCTTTCATGAAACTTTGCTAAAAATAGATCAGAGCCATGACATTAGTTGTTTACGTACATGACACGGTGTATACTACCACATGGGATGTTTTGTAGAACTCTAGCATATCTAGGGACCATCCTATGTGGTAGTTTACACAGCCCCGAATCCTGAGATCCCATGCTACGAATATATAGTGCTTAATATCACGGTGTAGTGCAGAAAGTTCCATTTCTGCAAAAATGTTTTGCTAGGGATCAATTTGTATTTTTTTTCAAAAAGAAAGTAGTGAAAATCTTCCCTATTTGTGCTAGATGCCCCTGAATAAGACAGCAATGGGTCTATATGGTTATACATACATGTGTAGCCCATGCTCGAACTGCAAAGAGCAGCAGAAGTGAAACACCAAATGCAGGTAGTGCTGCAAGAATAGCAAAGTTTATCTCATTTGCCCTAAGGATCTGGTCCAGCTCCAGCATTGCCCTGTGTAAAAACAATTCAATCATCTCTTGCAGTTTAATATTAGACATAAAAAATTTATCATCATGCATTTTAAGCAGTATTGTCAGAATACATTAGTATAACTTACTCCAGAAGAGCCAGTTTATGCTTCTCAATCTGAATTTTTAGGATCAGAATGTTAGAAAAAATGCAGGTTAACTTGAACTGAGTGCATCCTAAATAGAGATAGAAGGGGAAGAACCTGAATAGACAATGCACATGTTAATTTTCCACTGGAAAGACCTTTAAATGGATGCATTGCTTCCTTCTCATATCTGTATCAACATATTAGAGAAGTGTCATTGTTCATTGCTTGAGTCAGTAAAATGTAAACAGCTAGTTTAGTTTTCATTTTTTAACAAAAGAAGCTCCATCAATTTAGTCCATTGAGTGATCGTCAAAAGCATAGAAATTTAGGTATCAGATAAATAAGGATAAAATGTGAAGTGCCCATTAAGTTATGTAAGCAACATAAGTGCATACAAAGCATGTAATACACAAAAAGTCTCCTGCAGAAGTTCAGATTCTATTGACATAAGCCATGCAACAAGTCACTCCAAGGAGTCATAGAAGCAACTATACAAATGATTCTTAACTTCCTGAAGCTTGTGTCTAATATTAGAATTTAGAAAGTTATTAATTCATCGATCATGGCAGAAACTCAAAGATACTAAACTTAGGATTGTTAACAAAAATTCATCATTTTTAATGCAAGATGAGACATAGATTAGAATTCTACAACACGAACTTAACTGTTATGCACATCAAGATCAAATCATTTTAAAATTTATTTTTGACTAAGAAAATATTGATTCAGCCCACTTTGGAACTGAGTCAAACCCATCTTGAAGTTTTAACTCTAAATAGTACCATTATTTCACCAACAGGTTATAAACCTTTACTGAAACAAAAGAGAGAAATCCTTGAGAAAATTACAGTTGGAAAGCCAAAGATGTGCTATGCCTTTTTTGGTCTCACAGGCTTTAGTTACTGGCAAGTACCACCGAGTGGTAACTAGTAACCAGCAGAGAAAAACCTACTGGCCAGTAACTATGGGTAACCAGTTGCTACCAGCCTACACTGTGAAACCAGGCAGAGAAAATAAAATGGAAGTTCAAAAGCTTTTTGTGACCACAGCTGGAACGCGCGTCAGTTTTTCAGCAAGCAATACTGCAGCAGTATGACTAGGAAAGGGTAAACCTTACACAATAATAACGCCTATTGCCCAAATAAATTCGGTAGTTTGCAATAATAGAGAGTACTTATTTGCTATCATATCTATTAGTTAGGAAGGTATCAGTTTAGTTTGGAATAAGATATGTAGTTTGTTAGAAAAGTATAGAGTAAGGGGTGTTACGTGTTAGTGTTGGGTGGGGTTCGTTTCTACTTTTTTCAAACGAAACTTATACCCCTCGGAGGTATCAAGGGATGCACTTATGTACAGCCTTATGAGAATCACTAATATTTAGTTTTTCATTACAAGGTCTGTAACTTTTTCTTCCTATCTTAATTACATTGAATGACCTCCTTTGGTCATTCCACCAAAAAAAAAAAAGACAAGGTCTGTCCCCAGTACCAACTGAATTAATTTAGTTTCGAAACAAACAAAAATTAAAAAATGGTACTTGACAAACACAAATTTTTTCTTGTCAATAGATTCCGATACAAAAGCAAAATAATTCCAGGTGACTTTTGAGCGTGCAAATTTTCCCCTTGAAATAAGCTATGACTGTCAAAGCCAAGACACCATAAATATTCAAACACTCTTACCTCTTCATGACAATCTCCATCATTGCTAGCTCTGACATATCTTGTGGCGGTTTTTCATTTGAAGTGTTCCCACAAAAGTCAAGCAACATCCTACAAAGGCAACATGTAACATGTACGGTGAGATAATGCAAGACCATTTTATAATACTCAATGTGTTTCAGAAAATAAATGCAATGCAAACCTGAAATTTTACATAGTTCCAAGAAAATGTGGGAATAAAGTACATAGCTCCAGGGTGATGAATATTGTCAAGGGACTAGAAAAGGCAAAAAAAGAAAAAAAGAAAAAAAAAGAAGGAAGCAAGCAAGAAACAGGATGTAGGTTATGAGATGAAGCCCTTTTTGTTGATTACTAACGAAAATTAGTCAATCTCAACAGTCAACAGATCGATATTACCTGAGATATATAAAAAAGGCACAAGAAGCAAAACCTAATTTTAACCCACAATTTCATACAGGAACACTTCCAAGAAAGTAAAAGGGCGCATATAATTCAAATGGCATGGATGTCTGGTACATTACTGAACCATATATAGTCATTGTAAAATCTTGAAACTGCAGATACATGTCATCTTGTTTGGGTAAGGAGGTGAAACTTAGGCCATATCAAATGGATATTAACTTAGAACACTTCTATAAAAAGTTTTGGTAAGGAGAAAGGCACGTGTAGGTTTGAAGGAGAAAAGCCTAATTCAGAACAATACTTTACTAAGTTTTGAGTAAGGAAGCATGCATGTGTAAGCTTTACAAAAGAGCATGGGCATCATTGGAATAACCTGCGCAATGATTCTTCAGTTTGTTGGACCTCTTGTTTTTCCATTTCATGTTTAGATCTTTGTTTGAATGTCTCAAAAAGTTCATCCCTGATGGAAATGATCTAATGATTCTCAAAGAGAAGAATGAGGTCATGATAGAGCTTAGTAATATAGATGATTTCTAAATTTGAAAAGTACAAAGAACATCGAGTTTAGCTGGACACAGTCACAGAGGGATGCATTCTTTTTGTTGACATAGTAAGGTCAATTATAAGTTATCAGCCAAATCAAGCATAATTGCAGGAGTTCTGTAAAAAATGTTATGGACACACATAGGAGTTGAATGAGCAGAATTTAGTGCACTGATGAAATGTGCATGCTGATGAAGGTGCATATTAACAAGTTTCTTAACCTGGATATACTAATTGCCTTAAGATTGTTGATGGTAATAACTAATAAGTGAAGTCATCCGGTAAAGGCAAGTCGATTTTTTAACATTGACACAAAAGCACAGCTAATAGTACACAAAACAGCATACCACACTTGCTAATTAAGCAGTAATCTGCTTTTCATTTTTAACAGATAAATATTGGGATACAGTATTTCATAGAACATCTTGTATGTCTTCCAATATAATTATCTATACTGGTTAATGTGATTATCTGATATCTCTACCCTCACATACTGCATATAGGGGGATTAGACCTCATCCCTTGGTGGAGATTTTAGTTCAAATTCCTTGCCAACTTGAAGGGATTGGACATAAACTACACCTATCAAAATGAGCCCTAAAGTAACTCAATTCGACTTTAGTTAACTAATGCTAGCATCATGCATATGGTACACAATAAAAGGACATATCCAGAAAGTATCTTACTGGTTGCCCAACATGCACATCCCAAAAACCAACCATCGATTCTTTTGCATCTTGAATCCAGTTGTCAATGTCAGAACTTCCCATCAAGCTACTGTGGCGCAAAAGCCATAAAGAACATGCAGAGAGGCCCAATGCTCCACATGTGTAGGGCAACCAATATATGGTCGTATTTCTTGGTCTTTTGTGGTTCGAAAACTACAATAGAAAAAAAATATGCTTGAGATAATTATGCAACATATTGCTTCACATAATGGAACTGTAACACATATACATACTTCTAACTTCTGCGAACAGTAGCAAATTTATATTTTCAAAAGTGAACAATCCTCACTTATTCCAAGTAAGAATTACAGATTAACTCAATTGTTTATTACGGTAATAACAGAATAAGTTGAAAATATTTAACCAAAAGAATTGGTTTCATATCACCAAAACCGCACCAGCTCAGAGTTATGCTATAGAAATCTCACCGTTAACTTCTATACCACTAAAACTTTGCATTGTTCACTTCTATATAACAATTATAATTTGTTTTTACTTTTTTTTAGGCAAAAGACACGTGTACTTTCGTATTTACCCTGTGTGAGAGTAGAGAAGAAGGCAGCAAGCAGTGCACATGCCAGTCAGCGAGAGGCATGGCACGCATGATAAAGGACACGGCCCAGGTCAAGCTCAAGAAGGAAGAAGCATAAAGGAACTGAACCCTCATTCACTCGCTGGCAAGAGACAGCAACACGGCAACAAGGGGTAACAATCAGCAAGCTCTCATTACCCACATCCATATCCTTGTTGCAGCAGGAGCAGGTGAATGTCTTGCTGGTATCTCCTTGCTAAAGCTGAAGGAACGCATGCCTCTGTGGTATGTCCACATTGCCAGTGTCGAAGCAAAATTGATGCGGAGTCCTGGAGATGGTGGTGGATGGGCATATACAACTAAAACACCACACACAGATTCATGCCGAGACCAGGCAGAGATGGCGTTAGGTGGTGGCACCACGTCAACAGAGGAGGGTGAAGATCAGGTCAGGAGAAAACGAGGGTAGAAAGGAAATTGAGAAGAGGAAAAGGAAGGATTTAAGGTGATAATAGCAGTTAATGGAGTAACATCGCGGTGAAAATAAAAGTTAACAGCAATATTTCAGTGGTATGAAGTTAAACATGTGTAATTTCAGTGAAAAGGGAACTAACTTTTGCAAAAAAGAAAAAGAAAAGATTCACTGGACAATGCTAAACTAGTACTTTGAGAATATTTGGTGTTTCAACAGATTAACCTTCTTATCCACACGGTTATTATGATAAAAGAGTTGTCAGTTAGAATCAACTACCGTTGTGTCTTGCATTATATCTATACTTCTACCACTAGTTTCTAGACTGAAAGCATTCACATTGCATGGACAGAAATTAGTTGCTAAGTTGTGTAAACACAAATATTTTCTACAGGAAGCACAAACAGGTACAGCCATAGAGGGTGATCTATAGAAATGCTCCCTCAATACGCCTTCACCAACTCGGTTAGCATTAATGTGGAACCCGCAAGGCTGAGAAGTAACAATATGGCATGTGTCTTGTTGTAAAAAGGAGAGTTGATTACCTGATCAGAAATAAAATCATCGAACTTCTGGAGGTTTTGGTAGATCAATGTTATAGCATTTGCTGATAACACCTCTGTCCACTCTGAACTCTCAACATCAACTTCTGGCAATCTTTCAAAGATAAGTTCAGGCGACTTCCCATCATGTGTGCATAATAGAGTTTGTCCCTGAAGAAATGAAACTATGTGAAATAGCTAGCATGTCATACTTGTAACATCCAAAACATGCAAAAAGAACATTGCATACCTCAACAGCATTTCTAAATGATACCTCCAATTTGGAGAAGACAGAATTCAGAACAATGAATAGAGTATGTAGCGATTTATCTGAACTTTCTGTTAGTCCTTTTCTGCACTTATCAACTTCAAAGTAAACCTATAGAAGAGGCAAGGTAGAATTCGAATTCATGTATGAGAAACAGTAGCCATGTTCTATAAGTAAATTTATCCAAAGTATTAAAAAGAAGAGCTTGAATAATTTGGACACCATAGTACACCAGTTGATAGGGGAGCTGCTTCAAAGTTGATATTGAAACTATTGTAAAGAACAATTTATTCTACTTGACATCAGCATTTGATATTGATAATCGCATTTGATTAAACAAACCTCAGCAAGAAAAGCAGCCAAGCAGTGTTGCATACTTGTCAGGACAGCAAGTTTTGTTGAGACCATATCAGAAGCAGAGTGCAAAAGGTGCGGGACTGGACTCCCATTGCTCTTGAGTCTAGTCAGTGTTTGCCATGCTGCTTCGACAAAGGCCCTTGGACCTCTTTCAAAGATCATAAAATACAGTTTCTGTGAACTTGTTCCCTGGAGAAAATAGCATAGGACAACGGAAGATGAGTAAGTAGTGGACTTCTCTACATATTAAAAGTGTAGAAGCACTTCAATTTTTATGAATCAACTTTATACCTCTGCTTTGGACTGCCAAAATATTAAGCTCTTCTGGATATCATGCAAATTAGACAGAGTGTGTTGCGCAACATCTTGTAGGATGTCAAAAGCTTTGGGCATCTGACCGGCAATCCTGCGAATAACATATAGTCAGAAACATATCCAAGTAACTCTGTGCACACCAATAATCAATGGCATGTGAAAAATCAGTAATGCATTACATGAACCAGCCACATAACAAGATGCATCGAATATAGTAGAAGAAAAACTGATGCACATTAGCACATACTGCAAGCAGTGATCAACATCGAAACACATTAGTACGAGTTCCACATACACCACCTGCTAACCGAGAATTCGCCCCAATTTGTTTTACCTGTCATGTCCACCAATCCACGAATCACAAGTACATGGTAATGGTACTAGTTACTACACTACTCCATGAAAAGCCTGCGAAGCATAAGAAGCATAGGAGCCGAGGGGATTCCTCACCGGGCGGAGTGGGCGGCGGCAGGCCGAATGGGGAGCGGGAGAGCGGCGCGACGCCGTCGGCGGCCGCGGCCGCGGCCTACGGAGAGGAGGCGGGAGTAGTCCGAGAGCGAGGGAAGGCGGGCGAGGAGGGAGCTCCATACGCGAGCGGGAGATGCTAGAGCGGCGGCGGCGGAGGCGGCCAGGTCGGCGGCCTCAGCCGGATCGCCGGAGCTAGGGCTCCGCGGAGGCGGCGAAGCAGCCATACTCCAGCGAGCGGGAGATGTGCTACGGCGGCGGCGGCTGCGGCGGCGGCCGGAGACGCCGCGACGGCTCGTGCTGTGATGCTTTGGACTCGCGTGTGTTTTGGGCTTATTGAGTCGTCAGCCCATTAGGCATTTTTTTCTCATTTTCACATATTGTTCCCATCTGTTCCATTCAAAAACGATGGGTAAATTCAATATTTCTTTTTGAAAATTTTTACTATCAATATAATCGTATTTGTAGGATTTTTTTTATGGTTTGTTCATTTCAAATTTGAATTTCTCCAAAAGTTTTCGAATTCGTGATAGTATGCTTTTGATCGGGAAGTATATTTTTCTCTTCCTAGCTTGTTTGTTTCATTGTAGTTTCCCGTACGATGTCCTACCATTCAAGGCTTTAAGAGTTTTACCGTTCCCCCTTTTTTTTTTTTTTGAAGTGGACGAGTTTTACCGTTCTGGGAGTTGAGAGACTGGTTATTTTACCTGTTTCGAAGCTGAAGAACGAGAATTTAAACAAAGAGAGAAAAAATTCATAATATTAAGTGCCGGGTCCATGAATCAAGTTTAGACTAGCCATTTAAGTCACGCCTTGCGTGACCATGAGCAGACATCTATGGTTACCTTTTTATATATCTCAGTATGTACATTCAATTTTATTTTGATATTTTTATATAGCTGATAACATCATATTGATTATTTAACACTCGGTATAGTTTAGTCAAAATTATACTGTACTCCAGCTCTGACCTACCATATAGATAAAAGTGAAAACAACTGAAATATATATGATCATTATTTGCATACAGAGCCAACTTTAAATGTTTTTCATTAGCAGAAATTCTCACAATAAAAACAAACACATTCTTCTACAAATATATTGGCATTTATTAAATCTGAAACCAATTCAAATATAGAGGGGCCATTACACTTTTAGTTTTTCTTCCATCCAGTCAAAACAGGTTGGATGCAAACTTTAAAGCTTCTATAGATTGCAAGATCAGTAACTTTGCCTCATGAAAGTATTTCCCACAAATCAAGACATTTTAAGGCCATGCATTCACGCCACCTCACTAAATTGTAAATCCACTTGAAACGTCACTGTATGCTAACAATGATTTGATATGAATTTAACTGGAGCATGAACAGACCATCTTTATCCGTTTGTAACAGTTTAATTTCCAGTTGAGAACTGGTTGTAATGTATTAAGAGGCTCAGGGAATAAAGCTCTTGACCAAACGAAAGCATAATTAAGAACACATTGAAGCTTTCCATCTGAGATGTTCTTCCTGCTGCTTTCTGTTTCCTGTTCAATAATTACCACGGAAGTGGTGAAAGAGTAGAAAATTTCAATTATGTTAAATAGAAAACTTCAATCAGCAAAACTAAAAAGGACTTGATTTATGACACAGTCAGCAAAAATAAATTTATTGTTCTATGAAACAACATTATTCCTCAACAACTCCTATCCAGTTTTTACCATTCAAAATGTACTAATGTTCATGATTCATATAGAGGCCTTAGATGCACGGCAGTAAATCGAACAAAAAGTGAAACCACAAGTTTGGAAAGGCCATTTAATTCATTAATGTCACTTCAGGTGAAAACGAATAATGCAAATCAATATTGCAGTCATTTTAATTGCTGCTTTAAAACTTGTAACATCAAGAGATACTTAATAATACCATATTTGATTGCTTTATTATTTGCTTCATAAATTCACAGAAATCATTATTGAATCAGTGAATACACCCTTCACAGCAAACCAGAGGCTAGCTTAGAGTCAAATACATCTGATCGTTAATAGTACTTTATTTACAGTTAAGCAAATCACCTTGTAGAACTATCTTTTCTAGGTTTCCACTCCTCTGCTTGCTACAACTTTTGCTCGTTAGACACACATATATAGATACACACATCTAGAAATACACCATTCATTTATATAATGTTAGGGGCAACCTTTTCTTTTTTTTCTAAATACATGAATAGTTAGTATTACTTCTTTTTTTTTTTGGGGGGGGGGGATTATTAGTATTAGTTATCTCCCGGTGAGCCACTGCCGTCGGCTTGATTCAGCGAGTCGGACCTCGGGCATCCGGAGCAAAATACTATTTCAATCCATTTGTAAATCATTTTTCTGCTAGTTTGAAATCCATTAGTTATCACACATATCTTTGATAGCTATTGAAACAATTGTGTGTGTAAATATTTATAATTATAATGAACCTGAACTATCAATACATACATTTGATAGGATGCATTCTTTTTTATAGTGCTCTTAATTGAAATTTGCACACTCAAAAACTGAAATTACATGAGAGGCTTAATTAAGAACTCCATTATAGAACTTATTGATCACCCTTTAGTCTAAATTTACTACTTACATTATTATTACAAAACTTAATTGATATGTACTGTTATTTCCAATTTAGCAGTTAGGGCATGCATGGATTCAACTTCTTAACGCTAGGTGAAGCCCGTGGTAGGACACATCGTACAGGCTTCACCAACATAAACACCGTGAGAAGCTAGAGGTTTTTAGATACTTACATAATGGTGCAGTTCCTCGGACCTTTTGTATTTCCCTTGGCCATCGTCATTGGAGGACGATGAGAAGAGGCGCTACAAAGGAGGTCCTGGGGAACCAAAGGCGCTCAGGTGGAAAAATGCGCAAGATGAGGTGGCAGCGATCCACCAGTGCGTCGCTGTCGGGTCGAGCCATGCCTCTCGAATCCAGATTATCCCCACAATTGCCGAATCCAGCCCTGATAGGAGGTGGTTGTGTTGGGGATAGGGATGAGGAAGAGGAGGGGGTGGCGGCAGCGGCAGCGGCGGTGGCGGGATGTCACGCCTGTGCCACACGCGTGACGAGCTACAATGCCAGGATGACGTTTACAGTAACGTGTCGGGTGGGTGTGTGCGCATGTGTGTTGTGTGATTCGGCCAAGCGGCCAGGCTGGCATGTATGATCTTTATAAGTAAGGAACCCTGTAATGAAGAGAGGTGTGAAATGAAGAAAGGAAAAACGAATCTCTCCTCTCAACAACTCTGCTCTGCCCCTTTCTTCCTCGACTCTGTCTCCTCCTCCTCTGTTCTTCACCTCTCCTGCTCTAGTTCTTCCTTTGCTATGATCTAGTAGTGTTACAGTGGTATCAGATTCGGGTTTTCTGTGGTTGATGCGTTCAAATTCTCTCGATCCGACTGGTAAAATCCCTGTGCTCCGGTAGACGGCTACCCTCGGGTGCGGCTGCTGTAAGTCCAGTTCAGGTTTGGTTGGATTTGGAGCGAACGCTCACCACGACGCCCATCAAGCTCAGCGCTCCATTACGCCAATCGCTCGAGTCGATGGAGGGGAAATTGTTGGAGAAGTTGGAGTTACTCACTCAGAAGATGGAGGCTATGGACGACAAGATGACGAAACACGGAGGGCGGCTCGATCACGCCGTCGTCAAGGTGGATCTCGCTCTGGAGGCGGTCGGGAAGCTGCAGCAAGATCAGCTTCAGGCGGCGCAGTTGCAAAAGAGTTTGGCGTCTTCCAATCAAGTGAGTATTTTGGGCTCCCCATCTGCGGTTTCTCTTGGCAGTGCGGGTGTTTCCCCACCACCACCACCACCGCCGCCGCCGCCGCCGCCGCCAAGGTTCCATACTCATCCTGTGTTTACTCGCAACGAAGCGGAGTCTAGCCAGGGTTTTGATTAGGGTGTTCGTGCTAAGAGTTGCTTGCCTAAGATGGATTTTCCTCGTTTTGATGGCTCTGATGTCTGTATTTGGCTAGATATGTGCGAGACCTATTTTGACATGTACCAGATTCCGGCTATGTTTAAGGTTTCTGCAGCAGTCTTGCATATGTCTGGAAATGCAGCATAGTGGTACCAATCCTTTAAGTTAGTAGAAGAGATTTGTGACTGGTCTCAATTTTGTTATGCGGTTGCTCTCGAGTTTGAAAGTACTGCACAGTGTGAAAAAGTTCAGGCGCTGCAAACCTTACGGCAAACTGGTTCAGTTGCCGATTATAAGTCCCAGTTTGATTCACTAGTGTACCAGGTGCGTGTGTTTGATCCATCTGTGGGAGGGATGATGCTGCTGTATCGTTTTATTCTGGGTCTAAAGGAAGAAATCCGCTCAGTTCTGCTGGTCCAGTTACCTGACACTGTTCAGCAGGCTGCTGCAATTGCTTTAGTGCAAGAAAGTGTGTTACTAGACAGTGGACAGAAACCTCTTAAGAAATTGACATACAAAGGGGTTGGCACTAAAGTGGATACATCTGTTCCTATCTCTGAGCCATCGGCCATTAAACCTGAAAGAGCTGAATTATGGAAAGCTAAACAGTTGAAGGAATATAGAAGAGCGAATGGAATCTGTTTTAAATGTGGGGATAAATATTCACCTGATCATCAGTGTGTGATCACTGGTTAATTAAAAGCTATGCAAATCACTGAAGTTATTCCAGATGATCTTTTGAATGCAGTGGTTGCCGAAGAAGATTCTGATGCTGAGGAGCAGTATCATATTTCTTTGAATGCATTATCTGGTGCATCTCGCCATAATGCTATTCGTTTGAGAGCATTGGTTCAGAATAAAGTATTGTTGATGTTGGTGGATTCCGGCAGCTCTCATAGTTTCATTGATCTCAATTTTGCTCAGCTGTTGGGTTTGTAGTTGTGCCCTATTTCCCCTTCCTTGGTTCAGGTAGCTAATGGTGACTTTCTCTCTTGTCAATATGTGGTTCCTAATTTCACATGGTGGATCCAAGGTCAGACATTCTCTTATGATCTGAAAGTGGTTCAGTTGGGGGGCCATGATGCAATATTGGGGATGGATTGGTTGGCTCAATGGGGTGATATGTCTTGTAACTGGGCAACTAAAACTCTGAAGTTTTTCTACCAAGATCAGTGGATTGCACTGCAAGGTGTTCAAGAGTCTGATTCCCAGACTGAATTATGTGCTATTTCTTACCCTCAAATATTGAAATGGCAGAAGGGTTGTGATATTTGGGATGCTGTTTTGCTTGAACCTACTGACAATGCAGATTCTCAGTCCATTTCAGAAGTAGTAGCTCCATTACTGTCTGAGTTTGCTGATGTTTTTCAAGAGCCCAAGTGTTTACCTCCTCATCGCACTTTTGATTATGCTATCTCCTTGTACCCTGATGCTGCTCCTGTCAACAGTAAACCTTACAGGTATTCTCCTTTACAAAAGGATGAGATTGAACGCCAAGTCAAGGACATGATTGATTCTGGTCTTATTACTCCCAGCATGAGCCCTTTTGCCTCCCCAGTCTTGTTGGTCAAAAAGAAAGATGGGACATGGCGTTTTTGTGTGGATTATCGCAAACTCAACTCTGTCACTGTTAAGAGTAAGTTTCCAATGCCAGTGGTTGATGAGTTATTGGATGAGTTAGCGGGCACACAATACTTCTCTAAACTGGACTTGAGAGCCGGTTATCATCAAATCCGTATGGTGGAACAGGATGAGTTTAAAACCGCTTTCAAAACTCATCATGGGCAGTTTCAATTCAGCGTTATGCCCTTTGGTTTAATAAATGCTCCATCTACATTTCAATGCCTGATGAATTCAGTATTTGCATCTCTTATTTGCAAATGTGTATTGGTTTTCATGGATGACATTTTAGTGTACAACCCTAACTTGGATTCTCACCTACATCATCTGAGACAAGTGTTTATGTTGTTGCGACAGAATCAGTTATATGCCAAAATGTCTAAGTGCTCTTTTGCTTGTGCTCAATTAGAGTATTTGGGCCACATAATTTCTGCTAAAGGTGTCAGTACTGATCCTGCCAAAACTGCAGCGATGTTAGCTTGGCCTGTTCCACAAACTGCAACTGAGTTGAGAGGTTTTCTGGGCCTCACAGGTTACTATCGCAAATTTGTTCCGAATTACAGCATTATAGCCAAACCTTTGACAGTGTTATTAAAAAAGAAAGCATTCCTCTGGTCAGATGCTGCTCAACAAGCTTTTCAACAGCTCAAACTAGCCATGAGTTCTACCCCGGTGCTAGCATTACCTAATTTCAGTCTTCCCTTTGTTTTGGAGACAGATGCCTGTGCTTATGGAGTTAGTGCTGTGCTCAGCCAGTTGAATCACCCTATTGCTTACTATAGCAAAGCTTTGGGACCAGCTAATCAGAAATTTTCTATCTATGAAAAAGAGTTTTTGGCTATAATGATGGCTGTTGACAAATGGAGATGTTATTTGTAGCGCTGCCCTTTTACTATTCGCACTGATCACAAAAGTCTATGTCACTTGAATGATCAAGTTCTTGGAACTGATTTGCAATAGAAGGCTATGACTAAATTGATGGGTTTTCAATATACTTTTCAATACAAAAAAGGAGTTGACAATATAGTTGCTGATGCGCTGTCCAGGATGCCTGTTATACCTCATTGTGCTGCACTGTCAGTGGCTTCTCCCCTCTGGCTCCAGGAGGTGTTAAATTCTTATTCAGTGGATCCTGCTGCTCAAACTTTGCTGACTGAATTGGCTGTTCAATCTACTAATACACAAGGTTTTTCTCTGCATGATAGATTGATCAGACATCATGGCCGAGTATGGATTGGAGCTAACATTGGATTACAAACGAAATTGATTACTGCTTTTCATTCTTCTCCTGTTGGGGGTCATTCTGGCACTACTGCTACCTATCAAAGGATGAAGAAGTTATTTTCTTGGGTAGGTCTGAAATCAGATGTGGCTAACTTTGTTAAGCAGTGTCAGATTTGTCAGCAGGCCAAGTCTGAACACTGCAAGCTCCCTGGCTTGTTAACACCATTACCAATTCCTAAGGAAGCCTGGGTGGACATATCAATGGATTTTATCGAAGGTCTTCCCAAGTCTGATGGATTCACTGTCATTCTTGTGGTAGTGGATAGATTCACTAAGTTTGCCCATTTTATTCCCTTGCGTCATCCATTTACTGCTTCCCAAGTGGCCAATGCAGTTGACAAAACAGTTTTCAAGACACATGGCATCCCTCATTCTATCTCAGATCGGGATAAAATTTTCACCAGCCGATTTTGGAGTGATTTGTTCAAAGTGTGGGACACTACTCTGAGTATGAGCTTCGCTTATCATCCTCAAACGGACGGCTAGACCGAGCGTGTTAATCAATGTCTTGAAATGTACTTGCGTTGTATGACTCAAGCAACACCAACTAAGTGGAACAAATGGCTGCACTTGGCAGAGTACTGGTACAATACCTCTTTTCACACTGCATTGGGTTGTTCTCCTCATAAAGCTTTGTTTGGAGCTGATCCTCATGTCAGTCAAGTGCTAGTACTTCTCTCCTCGGTCCATCAGTCAGTGGTTGATCTTGTTTCTGAACGCAATCAGCTATCTGCTTTCTTACAACAACAACTGCAACGGGCTCAGTTGCGCATGAAGCATCAAGCAGACAAAGGCCGGTCTGAACGATCCTTTGCAGTTGGGGATCATGTGTTTCTGAAGTTGCAGCCATATACTCAATCTTCGGTGGTGAATCGTCCATACCCCAAACTAGCTTTCAAGTTCTTTGGCCCATTTGAAATTCTGGAGAAAATTGGTCAGTCGGCTTATCGGTTACAGTTACCAGACTCAAGTTTGATTCATCCCGTCTTTCATGTCTCTCAGTTGAAAGCACATGTTCCTGATCATACACCGGTCTTTACTTCTCTTCCTCACCCTGTGGTTTTGGATGCCGCTGACGTTTGGCCTGAAGAAATACTCGATCGTCGGCTTGTGAAAAAGGGCAATGCAACACATGTTCAGGTGTTGATTAAGTGGTCTTCTTTACCGGCGCATCAGGCTACCTGGGAGGATTATGAAGTGCTCAAGACCCGCTTTCCATCAGCACCAGCTTGGGGACAAGCTGTTTCTCCGGCGGGCGGTACTGTCACGCCTGTGCCACACGCGTGACGAGCTACAACGCCAGGATGACGTTTACAGTAACGTGTCGGGTAGGTGTGTGCGCATGTGTGTTGTGTGATTCGGCCAAGCGGCCAGGATGGCATGTATGACCTTTATAAGTAAGGAACCCTGTAATGAGAGAGGTGTGAAATGAAGAAAGGAAAAACGAATCTCTCCTCTCAACTCTGCTCTGCCCCTTTCTTCCTCGACTCTGTCTCCTCCTCCTCTGTTCTTCACCTCTCCTACTCTAGTTCTTCCTCTGCTATGATCTAGTAGTGTTACACGGAGATGAGAGGAGAGGAGAGGGAGAGGAGGAGGAGGCGGAGGCTGTGGGGCACTGGGGACGAGGAGGAGGCAGCGATGGCAGTGAGGGCCGGGAGGAGAAGACAGCGGTGGCGGTGGAAGGAGAAGAGGCGGAGGTGGCGAAGCGACGCGTGCGAGGAGTCGCAGCGATACACAGGAGAGGGAGGGGGAAAATGAAAATACACAGGCATAGGAGGACTAGAAGCTGAGAGAAGTTTCTTGAAGGGTTGTTTCTGAAATCTTCTCTTATCAGATCCGACGGTGGTCGTTTACCAGCAGTTGTATCGGACGGTCCCTGTTTTATGGATGACGTGGCCCAACCAGATTGCAAGAAACTTTATTTCTTTCAATACTTTAGATATGTTCAGGCAAAAAAAAAAACATAATGCCATTTTCCGCTGATCCTGTAACGATGTCTTTGATCTGGATGATCAGAAAATGAAGTTTCAAAACAACACAATCTGCTTCTGTTTTCTTATCACCTCGAACCGTTTGTTCTTTATAGCTCATGAGAGTAAAAACTGTTATTTCCAGTGGCTCATCAAAAAGATCATCCATTCACATCATAAGAAATAAGTACTAGACATTAGGAGCGGCACAAGGCCATTTCTCTATCGTATTTTCGGTATCAAAATCTTCATGGAAATCCTACCAGCAGGTGCATCAGACTGAATGCCTAGGCAGGATTTGCGCATTCATCGTCTCAAAATGAACCACAGTAAGTTCACCAATCATCACCCGAGGAAAAAAAAAGGATGATGAAAAATTTCAGATGCATCAAACACCCCCTAATGGCTATGGAAAGCAGTCATACGTTCCCTTCAGTCGTGAAAGAACCACCAGCTTGTCTGTCATACTCATCTTAGGTTTCGCCAGATCCAAAATGTCTTCTCTTAATCTGCAACACAAACGATTTTGTGGAAAGGTCATCCAGAGTAACCAGGAATCAAATGGTAAAGAATATGAGTTGATACTGACCTTGACCACTCGCCTGTTTCTTCTGCATGTGATTCAACAGCTCTGTATAATCTATCAAGGTTGTACAGTGTTAATCCGAACTTACAGCATGCCTCTTCCTCCTGTAAAGGAAGAAATTCAGAGGCATCATTTGTAAAGGGTGCCCCTCATTCCAATATTATTAAATTTATAATCCAAAAGTTAATAATAATAAGAGGGAGCACTCATCAAAGTGGCTTTGTCATCGATACAAAAGAAGCATTCTCAGTCAACAAATTTAGGCCGAAAAGCTCTTTAAAGATTGAGAGAATGAATCCTAAAGAGCAACTCATATAGATGTAGATAACATTACCATTCCATTAATCATGCAATTTTTAAACTCCATAAGTTTTCTCTCTGCATCAAGAAGCAGCAGCCTTCTTTGGCGCCGTGCAATCCTGCCTCTTCCCTCGGCGCCTTGGTCCTAATTTATAATTAAGACATTAGTCACCATATTTTTTTGCTTTTCTACACGCATGTCCACATACTGCAAAGATCTGTGGCACAAATAGGTTACAGGGAAACACAACAAGGCCCCACAGACCTACAGATACTTCTGACAGATGATGATATTTCAAAGAGAGAATGATAGAATCACGGAACTCTATTAACATACATTCATAATCCATGCTTGCACCACAGTGAGGAGCAAAAGCGAAACACCAAATGCAGGTAAAGCTGCAAGAATAGCGAAGTTTATCGCATTTCCTTTAAGAATCTGATCCAGTTCCAGCATTGCCCTGTGTAAGAAGAATCCAATTACATCTGTTGATGAATATTAGACAAGAAAAATATATCTTTATGCATTTTAGTTATTATTGTCAGACAGAAATAGTATAACTTACTGCTTGATATCCACTGTGCGCTTCTGAAGCTGAATGTTCAAAGTTGAAGGTGAGAATAGGAAATATCATGAAGTGGAATATTCGATGCATCCAAAATAGAGTCAAGTGAACTAACCTGGATAAGCATGGCATATGCTAACTCTCCACCGAAAAGATTCTTAACAGGATGGGTCCATTCCTTCTCATATCTGCGCAAATACATGCATATAGTTCAATGCACAAATAAACAAGATAAAGGATATGTCTACTGTCAATTTAGCTTTCCACTACAGAAGCACAATCTGAGCATTAAGTGATTAACTGGTCATCCTAAACAGAAATTTTGGAACAGCTAGCTATACAAGAAGTATGTAAATATGTAGAACCTACTACTATGTAAAATAGCTATAAAGCATGTGTAACACGAATCTTCCAGATGCTATTGGAAACTAAGAAGCTAATAAGTTAATTTCCATTATTGAAAAGTAATGTCAAATCTGTTTTAACGTCAAATGCTGGGTTTCGAGCATAGAATTACATTCATCTTGAACTTTTAACTTCTATCACCACCTTGCAGAATTTTACTGAGACATGAAATAGAGTTCCCAAGAAATTCAGATGGCTCATTGCTTTCATCCAAACATACTAGGAAACAAATGAACCCTGAAGTTGGAAGAGCCTTACGGTGCAAGGTTTACCCCACGTGCAAATATAATCACTTTAGTTTCAAAAAAGCAACTGAAACTCAAATGAAGTATATGAAGCACATGCCATGTTTTCCTTTGTGATCAAATGATCCCAAGTTCCAACCCTGAATCAAAAGCTCCTCATATGGAATTACCTCTATAATATTTGCTCTTAAAAGGTAGCAGAGAAAGATCAAGATGAAGAATTACTTTCTTCAGCATAAGGAAAATACAGTAAAATTCTTGAGAAAAAAATATTACAGGTGCCTTTTGAACTTGCAACATTTGGCCTAACACTGTAACGCATAAATGCAAACAAGTCAACACCACATCAGTTTATAGTTTTCAAACAGACTTACCTCTCCATGAAATTCTCCATAAGTGCTTGATCTGATATATCTTGTGGCAGCTTCTCATTTGAAGTTTGCTGACAAAATTCAAGCATCATCCTACAAATCCAATATGTAACCAGTGGGCTTAAAAAATGCAAAATATAATTTATGCTCCTCTAATGGACTCAGAAAAAAATGGCTGCAAAGCTGAAGTTTTGCATATTCAAGAAAATTAAAGTTTGTAATTTTTTGTTCAAGACAAAAGAAATTGCAAATTTTTTACTGAAAAAGTTACAGCACTCCAGGATGAAAAAACATTAGTCAAAACCAATAATATCAACAAAAAAGTAGATAAACGAAGAAAATCTTGGTGCTGGGTTGGGGAATCTTTTTGTTTAGGCGTCACCACTCTTTTGTACAGTATTTACTATGTCATCAATGGCTTCATCAATCATCACACCTGTACAATACTTTCATATTGTTTACTGTGGGTTAAAACGGGAATGGAAGTAGTGGGAAGTTTTCAGGACATGTCCCTAGACACCTACTGCATGACTGACTAGCTGTAGTGTAGCTGTTGCATGGCGAGGGAAGCAAGGAGTGAGAGATATTTTAGGATTTTTTTTCCATTGATTGATTCCTCAAAGCAGGTGCAGTTTGTCTGACCCTTTATACAGAGAAAGGACCTAACATATCTTATCTCAGCATAGCAGCTACTTACTTGGTATCTTGAGGACGAGGACAGAATCCTAACAGTAGTAAACAAAAGATAACAAAAAGGAAACAGAAATTCTAAGCTGGTACCACTGTGCTCTTGTGCCACCACATCTACTTCATGTCACACAAGACAAATACTCATAGTGACTACCCCACTATTTATGCCTAAAATAATTGGAAAGCACTTCAAAATATGGTGGTGGGTATCCCAAATCAAAATTACAAGCATATCTGCTGCATTATTGAAACCCCCATACTGGCATACTCGACTTAAAATTCTTGAAACCACAGGTAAATATCATCTAAAGTATTCATATCTGAGTAAACAGATGAACATGATGAAAATGCAATATTAGATATGCAATATGGTACTAATTTGTCGAGTGGCAGAAAAAACTATGTGATATGATTACCATTAAATTTGCATATTAGAGATGTAGTATCAGGGAATAACCTGCGCAATACTTCTTCATTCAGTTGGACCTCTTGTGTATCCATTACATGTTTACCTCTGTTTTTGAATGTCTCAAAAAGCTCACCTCTGATGGAAATGATCTAATGATCATCAAATGAGAATAAAACAATCATGATGCAATCACAATAACATAATTGATTTCCAAATTTTAAGAACAATATCAAAATTCAGCCACAACAAAGGTGTGGAAAAAAATTGCAGCTATATTAAATCCAACTAGAAGTTCCCCACTAAAACTTGACACTTGATCTCCTACACTAATGCTCTCTGAAGTTATATCATGTTGCATTCAATGGTTCCACAAGGAATAGTATTTAGACTATTTCGGTGCAGATGTTGGTGCATATTACTCTACTATCTGTTGATTTTTATATAATATTGTGTGCGATTTGACTTGGTGTGGTCTGCCAAAATGAATTTATGACTGTGAATCTTTTGCAATATAGCGTGTGTAACTACAAAATCATGATCATAAGTTATTGCAAACAAAAATTCAAAATTACCATTTTTGTATCACACAACTATATAATGTTGCATCTTACATTACTTATTTATTGGTAAAAAATTACAATGTCCAAAATTTTGAAACTACGTGTGTGCCTTATAATTGTCAACAAAGATAGTAGTTAGTTATATGCCTTATATACACATGTAAACTTAAGGATGTTCATGGTAATAAGTGCAAGTGCTGCAGTAAACAAACACATGAAATTGTTTCTATACTCTATCATATATGCTTATACTATAAGAAAACAGTACGGCTAGTATGCACAAGGCAGCATGCTTTTCTTTCCCTTTATCTGGTTTTCCTTTTTGTTAGACAAATATTTGCATGAATAGATTAACAAAATCTTATCCTCCTGTACCTCAGAGAACATCTCATATATGTCAATGTCGGAATAACGAGAAAAGACTTTAACTAGAATGCCTTGATTCACCCTCAGTTAACTTACACTAGCATCATTTAAAAATGCATAAGATAAATAATAGAAGGACATAAATAGAAAGTATCCTACAGGTTTCTCAACATGCACATCCCAAAATCCAGCTATTGACTCTTTGGCACTTTGAACCCAGTTGTCGATGTCAGAACTTCCCATCAAGCTACTGTGTCGCAAAAGCCACAGAGAACATGCCGAGAGACCCAACGCTCCACATGTGTAGGGCAACCAGTATATGGTCATATGTCTTGGTTTTTTATGCCTTGAGAGCTATAATTGCAGAAAATATTTGCTTCAGGCAATTAAGCAACATATAATCATCTGATAAGAAATGTAAGATTTATTGTTGTACAGTGAACAAACCCACTTATTTCTACATAACTGCAACTTACATAGTTTATAAAAGTAAAAATATGATAAATGGAGAAATCACAAAAAATAAAATACTACCTGGAGAATGCTATACATTTACACATTTACTCTGTATTGAGATACAAGTTTGGCATTGAACACATTTTCACTAGTTCATCCACATGATTAATTCTCACATCTCAAATCTCATGGTTTTGATAATCAGCATGTTGCTCCATTATATGCATGCTAATGGGGCGCCTGTTCAGAACTATAGGTATGACAATACCACTCATTTATAGTCTGAAACAATGCATATGCATATAGCTATATAAACATTTTATACAGCAAGCACAAACAGGTAGTGGGCCTGTTCAGCAAGCTGGCAGCGGCGGCTGCGGCTGCGCGTGTGCATGTGGCACTGTTGGTGCCGGCTGTGCCACAACTGCAGAACAGGCAGCCGAACAGGCCCAATCATAGAACCTCCAATAGTATAACATTGATCCAACCATACCCCATCTACAACTCAGGTAACATTAATAGAAGTAGCAAATGCGAGACAAGTTGCTGTTGTTGAAAGAGAAAGTTGCTTACCTGAGAGCAAACAAGGTTATCTAGCTTCTGGAGGTTTTGGTAGATAAAACATATAGCATCTGTTGAGGAGGCCTCTGTCCACTCTGAGTTATCATAATCAATTTCTGGTAATCTTTCAAAGAGAAGTTCAGATGGGCTTCCATCGAGTGCGAACAGTAGAGTATGCCCCTGAAGAAAATATATTACATAATGCCAAACACAAAAGTATATTATACATATAACATCCAAATGCAAGAAAAGCAAACAATGCATACCTCACAAACATTTTGGAGTGATACCTCCAATTTGGAGAAGACAGTATTCAAAACAGCAAACAGTGTGTGAAGCGATTTATCTGAATTTTCAGTTAATCCTTCTTTGAATTTGTCAACTTCGCAATAAACCTATAGAACAAGCAAGGTATGATTTGGATTTATAAATGTGGAACTGTGTCATGTAAAACAAACAATGTTATCAAAGAGTTAGAAAATTGGGTTTGAATGATCTGACTAGAGTAGTACAGCAATTTTTGGAAGCGAGCAACTACAAAGTTAGCTTTGAAAGAACTGCTGACACGAGTTTTATTCTACTAGACATAAGCATTTGTAATGATAAACATCTGACTAAACAAACCTCAGCAAGAAAAGCAGCCAAGCAGTGTTGCATGTTTGTCAGGACAGCAAGTTTTGTTGAGACCATATCAGATGCAGAGTGCAAAATGTACTGGGTTGGACTCTCATTGCTCCTTAGTCTAGTCAATGTCTGATATGTTGCTTTAACAAAGGCCCTTGGTCCCCTTTCAAAGATCATAAAATACATTTTCTGTGAATTTGTTCCCTGAATAAATATAACAGAACCAAAAATAGGTAAATAGCATGAAGTATAAGATGCACTCTTTTAATTAATTGCAGCGTAAAAAAAATAAAAGATTTATGAATTAACTTGAGACCTCAGCTTTGGACTGCCAAAAGAGTAAGCTTTTCTGAATACCATGCAAACTACACAGCGTGTGTTGTACAATATCTTCTAGGATGCCAAAAGCTTTGGGCGTCTCACCGGTAGCCCTGAAAGTAACAAATGATTTAAAAAACAAACTTCATGCAATTATGTGTCATCAGTCATCACGGTCATCGACGACGCAAAGAAAATACCAGAACATTAGGCATTAGCCACACGCTTACACAACATTCCTATCAGATATTCGCATTTGTAATCGGTAGATTTTGCCTATATTGCACCTAGTCACTAATTCCAAACGCATTGTACGAATTCCTCACATACCACCAGCTACCAACCTAAAACCCCAAAATTTGCCCAAATTTACTCGGTCTGTCCAGTCCACGAATGCACTAGCATAACACTAGCAAGCGAGAGCTTGCAGCACAAGCATAAGAAGCACAGGAGGCACACTAAAATCCAAGCAGTGGTTTCTCACCGGGCGGAATGGGCGGCGGCTGTGCGGAAGGGGAGCGGAAGAGCAGGGCGTCGGCGGCGGCGGGGGCGGCGGTCCGAGAGCGAAGGGAGGCGGGCGAGGAGGGAGCCCCATAGGCGTGCGGGCACTGCCAGGGCGGCCGCGGCGGCGTGTCTCGCGGCCTCGATCGGGTCGCCGGAGCTAGGGCTCGGCGGAGGCGGAGAGATCGCCATAGCGCCGCCGCCGTGGGGGCCTCCGGCTGCGGACTTCGAATTTCCCTTTTTTTTTTCTGACTGTTCGGGGAAAACTCTCTGCTTTACCCCCTCAACCTTTCACAAAATCACAAAACACCCCCTTCTATTACCAAAAACCCTACTGTCTGCGCCTTCAAATTTGGAGTCCTTTACCCTATGTCATTAATAAAGTTGCTGGTTACCTGTATGCCAAAAAAAAGTTTAGAGTTACATGTATACCATGAGCCCAACTTTCGTTGACCCGTGTGCTATTTTGGATGGATGGAGACATAACAGAGGTGTTAGGGGTTGTTAGGGGCTGTGTAAAGACGGTTTTGCCCTTATGTACAATAATGGGTTTAAAAAATTAGAAAAGTGAAAAATAATTTAGGAAAAGCGTTAAAAATCAGAAAAAATGAAAAATAATATTTAAAAAAGGTAAAAATCAGAAAAAGTGAGAATAAATTTTAAAAGTGTTTAAAAATCCGGGAAAAAAGGAAAATGTGGGAAATATTAGAAAATGGTGGAAAAAATAAGGAAAAATTGGAAATAAATTTTGTAAAAAGGAAAAAACAGGTGCATGACCATTGCATACCGACAAATAACGGGTAATCAAATATTATAGTTTAGTGTGAGTGACAGAAATTCATGTGGGCAGGTATTATTGTCCAATACATAAAAACAAGCATATGCCCTTTTTTTTATTTAATGCTTCGAATCAAGCATACACATAGAGCTTCCAAAGGGCACCAATTTCCAAAAGCAATCGCATAATTCCAAATTCCGTTTCTCGCAAAAGACGAGAACTCCAAACCATATACAGATGCATCTTGAAACCCCACACGAGAGAGCGAGAGCGAGAGATCAAGAGATAGCACGAGAGCAGTAGCCACAGCTAGCACATCGTGATTCGAATCTCACGTGACCACCGCAAATATCTCACTCGCTCACCTGCGGTGGCGGCCATCGACGGAGGGCGCGACGGCGCTGCACCACCCGGTGACCGACGACGATGCCGCCCTCCCGGACCAACCACCACCCGCCGCGCGTGCCGCCCACGTGCCGCGCGACGAGGGAGGACGCGGGAACGCGTGGGCCCTGGAGGAGGAGAGGAGGAGGCACGACGGCCTGGGCGCACGGCGACGGCTCCGGCTCCAGCGAGGCGAGGCGGCGACGGCTCCGGCGAGGCGAGGCGGCGGCGGCGTGCGGCTAGGGTTAGGGTGCGGCGGCTTGCAGCGCAACTGGGAGAGAGCATGCACTCACGGGAGATAGCAGGAGAGGAGAATAGAGCTGAAAATCCTTAGGGGCAAATTAGTCATTTTCATACATGGGTCCCACATGTCAGAGCTATGGAACCGTTAAGTTCTAACAGAAGGTGGACGGAATGTCACACGGGTCAACGAAAGTTTTTCTCATGGCATACAGGTGACTCCAAACTTTTTTGTGGCACACAGGTAAGCTGCAACTTTTTTAATGGCATAGGGGTAAAAGACGATTTTTACACCACCTATTTTTACCATCCTTTGCAAGTTGAACCATGTTTACTGATTGGGTCACTTGGTATGCATTTACTAGCGGTCGGCAGTCCCCTTCTCCAGGCTCCGGCGAGGGATCCCTCGACGGCGGTTCCGCCTGCCTCTCTGGTACGAGTACTTCCCTCCCAACCTAAAAAAGTCTCCCTTCACACGCAACTGCTATGCAGCAGCATGATCAAACTCAACAGTCAACACACAAACGCTACCATCTAGGTCCACCGGCCACCGGCTGAAGACCCTTGTTGCATACGGCTGGAGGTCGTCGGTGCCAAGGTGGAGAAAGTCTCGTCATCCGGCCATGTCGCTAGCGTCAGGGCGAAGGGCCTCTGCCTGGTGGACGCCCATGCCACCTCGATCGATGGCTTCCTGAAGATGGAATCATTGGGGTCGTCGGCTGGCTCGTTGCTATCATGCTTGTTTTGGGTTTATGAGGTACACAGGTATGCGTCTGCTATTCGATCATGGAGCAATCCATGGAGGAAAGTTGACCCTGAGATCTGGGAGAGTGAAACAAAGCAATGTATTCAGTAATTCCTAGGAGATTTGGGTTTTGTGGGGCAATCAATATTCCTCTTATGCTCTTCAAAAAACTAGAGTAATTAATCCGTGTTCCTCGCTTGGTAATCGGAAACATGTTGAATTTTCTCATGAAAAGAGAAGATCGGATCTTGATTACTGCTAAATGTAATAGTTGGCCTTTTTTGCTTCTCATGCATGATCTGAATGGGATAGTTCTGGTATAGTCTTAGATCCTGTCAACATAATCAGATGTGTCGTAGTATTGTTTTGAGTGCGATAGGGCCGAGCATGATCACCACAGGGTCCGTGTCAGGCGTCCACTGGACGACGACATGCTAGCCCTCACTGATGACCACCCCGACGCGTCGCGCACGCTCCTGGTATCGCGCACCATCGCCACCATGAGCAAACACCAGCTGCTCGTGTGGATTAGGCCGAAGCACAACCCATGCCATAAACCTGGTCCAACCTGAAAAAGATGGTAAAATTAGGTGGTAAATCCGATTAAAAAATAAGGATAAAATGTTGCAAACTTCTTTAACTCCCTGAATATACTCTATGTTTTTGTAGTGACATTATCTATCTTCGCCATTTCGATGAGATTTGATGGTAGGAACGATACAGATAACAATCTGTTCACTTTAGTTATTTGCGGCAGCAGCTGCTTAGCACCAATAATATCTATCAACATTCTAGCTGTAGCTGCCACTGTTGCTGCAAAGAAGCTGCAACTACAACAATCTCTCCTGAACACACCAAACAATTGTAATTGGAGTGCGATGAGAAAAAAGAAGAGTATCCCGGGCTCATAAAGCTAACGGACAGGGTGGACCCTGTGATGGGTGGTGAAAAATAGGGACGTTGATGTTGCGGCAACAACAGTGAAGCAATTGGGTTGGTAGTTAGTGTTGGGCGAGATTAGTAATAGGAGTATAATGAAATTTGAAGGATGGGAGATGGAGGATAGAGGATCAAAGATCAAGCTAGGTAGAGGGGTAGTCAACGAGAACAATGGGAAGGGCTAGGTTTAACAAGTCTAATTGGAATTGGAAGCATATTGGCAACACGAAGTGGTAGTATTGCTCAGTAGAAGAATGTTGTAAGTTTTATTATAACACTATATTTAAACATGTCTTCTCGATATGTCTTGCGAAATCCATATATAGTACCTAACAAGCACAGAAAATAGCGCACCACCAAAAACATATGAGCAGTACACCAACAACATGCAACTGACACATGGATCAATTCTCCTATTACATACTACCTTCATCCTACAATATTTATCGTTCTAGGTTATTTAGCATAAATTAAGGTTTAGTAAGGAAGGAAAAATTATAGTGCCCTTATTTGTATTGTAGTGAGAAGGTGGTTGGGGTAAAATGGAAAGAAATTTATATGGGGTCATTGATGAGATAAGTAGTACTTTAATAATAATTATTTTGAAACAAAATTTAAAATCCAGTAAGACAACTAATTTAAGACGGGGAATATATTACATTAGTGTTGTCTGGATTACGTCAGTTTCACATATTACATCCATCGCACTACTAACAACATACTATTGCAATACAGTGGAATTCCTACGTGTCAATCGAACCTAATGATTGATCGATCGATGGAGATCCACTTAATAAGTGGCAAGGGGTATGCAATAAGTGGCAAGGGGTATGCGATTTCAATCTGAAGTTTAAGGGATGTCTCTTCCTCGAAATCTTGTTTTTTTTATCCGACCTATCAATGGACAACATACATCATCGTTCTAGGCGCGCTACTATACGTACGAGTCATCTCATCGATCTTCTCAGGTGAACTGGCGTCCGGTGAAGGTCTGGCCGAACGCCCATCCCGCCGGCGCGACGTTGTACGACACGACGGATCGGCGGTCGCCGGTGGTCACCGTGAACGACAGCGCCTGCCCGTCGAGCAGCGCGCCGCTCTGCCAGTTCTGGCCCCAGTTCCTCGCCATGGCCTGCCACCGCGCCTTCCTTCCCCCGCCGGCCTTCACCGCCACCGCGTGCACGTCGCCGGCGCCGCCCACGTTGCTCACCAGCACCAGGTTGAAGTAGGAGTGCCCGTTGATGGTGAACCTCATCCCTCCCTTCCTCCGGCACGCCACCCTACACACACATTTAGACCTTGTTTAGTCAGCGAAAAATTTTGTTTTAACATGTCACATAGAATATACGGACACACATTTGAAGTATAATAACAAAATAAATTACAGATTCCGCTACGAATCTGCGAGACGAATTTATTAATTAAGCCTAATTAATCTATCATTAGTAAATGTTTATTATAGCACCATATTGTTAAATCATGACGTAATTAGGCTTAAAAAATTCATCTCGTCATTTACACATAATTGTTTTTTTCTATATTTAATTTTTTATTTTGGGAGCTAAACAAGACGGGTAAATCAATGGCGGATTAATTATCAGCTAGTACGACGAGTTGATCAATCGATGGCGGCGGCGGCGGTTGCTGACCGGCGGTAGGAGACGGGGACGATGCCGGACTGGAAGCGGGCGATGCGGAGGAAGGCGGGCTGGGAGAGGTCGAAGTGGTGGAGCGGCGGGTTGCACCAGCCGCCGCGGTCGCCGGGGAGCGCGTGGTTGGCCGGGCACAGGTCGGTGGCCGTCACCACGATGGACTTGCCGGCCGCCGGCGGCAGGCACCCCCGCCGGTCGCCGCCGCCGCCGCCGCCGCACCGCAGCTCGAAGCAGGCGCCGCAGCTCAGCCCGTCCCCGAACATCACCGCGCTCAGCGCCGCCGTGTCCGTGCCGTACCCCTGCCCGTACGTGTTCCCGTACCCGCACGCGCCACCTGCACACAACCGGCGGCGCCATTGCCGCCACTTCGATCAATTCTGAGCTGAGATAGATGTATATGTATCGGCGTGCATTGGTTACGTACCCATGGTGCCGGAGGCGTCGGCGCCGCCGTAGAAGGTGGCGTGGGCGTCGGTCCAGCGGCCGGCCGCCGCCGCCGAGGAGGAGGACAGCGACGACGACAGCGAGAGCAAGACGAGGAGAATCGGTAGCGACGGCGGCGCCATTGTCGTATCGTACGTACGTGCGCAAGCGAAAGGGAAAGCTGATTAGTTAAGCAGCTTGTCCACTTCGACACATCGATCGTTTTGTTCGTTCGTGTGGGGGATTTATATAGGCGCCATAGCTGGCTAGCTAAAACATAGAAGAAAACACATATGACTACGAGCAGGTTTTCAATTTCGAAATTAGGTGTTATGCCGGAGGTGAACGAAATATTGGAAATTTCGGGAATCTCTGACCGAAATTATTTGAAAATTTGACCAAATTTATAAAAAAATGCAAAAAACCAAAAATTTCGGGCAAGATTTGAGCATGCCGGCGAGGGTGAAATTACCGAAATTTTAGAAATTTCGAATCAAAATTTCAAACCGTGCGTATGAGTTTGTAATTTACTCATTCGGCTTCATATTATAAGTTACTTTAACTTTTTTTTCTTAGTTAAACATTTTTAAGTTTGACTAAATTTGTGAAAAAATATATAGTAATATTGTTAACCCAAAATAAACATATTATCAAAATATATTTAATATTACAACTTACAAAACTAATATATTTACAGGTTTTCTTGTTAGTATGAACGAGCTTTTTGAAGATGTCGATGATGAACAAGTACTCCGCCCATGGAGGATGGGGTGTACTAAGTTGCCAGTTGTCTCTTCGGCAATTTGAACATATAGATCTTGTACAACGAATTTGGATGGAGGGTTGTCCAAATTAGTTATACTATCCCTCTCGGTTGTCTTTTTGTTTTTTTTAACGGAGGGAGTACGTCTTTTAAAGAAATACTCCCTCCGTTTCATAATGTAAGACTTTCTAGCATTGTTCATATTCATGTAAATGTTAATGAATCTAAACACACACACACATATATATATATATATATATATATATATATATATATAGTAAATTTGTTTGGTGCTCCATGGTGCCCGGGCACCATTGTTGAAATTGAGTATATACCCAATTCAAATGAGCATGAAACTTTTTCAATTATTTAGGTATTAATATTAACTACTTTACTAACTAGTTGAAAGCAAGTTTGAACTGAATTTGAACTTGTTTTTGTTAGATTTTGATTCTAGGTATATAGCATCCATACATATAATTAGTTAGGTATGTAATCATGGATTGTGAAATAAAGTTAAATTTGAGTTGTTTTGTTGATAGGTATAGGTATGAATCGAATTCTTATAACTAGGTATATACTCACAATTTGAAAATTTTGAAAAATTTAAGTGATTTTGTGCATTTGAAACCATGGTGCCCGGGCACCATGGTGCCCCATATGAGTGTCCTATATATATATATATATATATATATATATATATATATATATATATATATATATATATATATATATATATATATGTATATGTATATTAACATCTATGTAAATATGGATAATCCTATAAAGACTTACGTTATAAAACGAAGGAAGTACGTCACATTTGTTGTCCCCAAGACCGCAGAGGCCCGGGGACCCGTCCTTGTTCCTCCGACAGCACGAATGCATGCCTTTTCTCTCATACGTAAGTGTGTATCGAAAATCGGGCAAATTTCATCCATTTTGATTTCAGTGAGAACCTACACAACATTAGGGCACCCGCAATGGTTATCTATAGGCTCTCTACAAGATATCTATATTAGCATATTTTTCTACTTGGAAGAGATTAAATGAAGAGAGAGAGCAAAGCTATCTACTAACCTGAAGATAGTATATAGAGAAAAACGAGGCAATGTATTAAAGAGCTATAGATACCCATGTAGACATACTATTGAGATGGTTTACTATTAATCTAGTCTATTGCTGAGATGTACATATTTTATAGAGAGCATCTTACTTACCATTGCGGGTGCTCTTATATCCTATTTAGTTTGAATTTGACATCCGAAATTTCCGAACTTCATTCATTGTGGTGGAGCCCGAAATTTTTATACAATTGAATCGTCCCAGAACCTCGTCGATCTCACCGTCATTCAGAGTTTAGGCTTCAGGCTGTCCATGAACAAGGTTGTTCATGGGCATCGATCCTGTGACTTGGGGCAGAGGCAGGCTTCCAAAATCTTGTTTAAATTGTATTAAATATACTACGTAAATTTTATAGAAAACCAATACTTTATTAGTTGTGCCTTACCTTACCTCTAGTCTTTAAAAATTTATGGCATCGTCACTGCTCTATGACTAACAACTTTCAATATCTCTACTATTATAAAAATTGAAGATGTTTTTGCTGGTACTTTAACACGTCATCCGTGTATGAGTCGGTTTTTAAGTTCATTCTCTTTTGGAAACCGTATTTGGGTCGTGTTTTAAGTTTGTCCGTTTTTAGAAATACAGAAGGAGTCGTATAAGAAATCTTTTCAAAAAAAACTCGCATGCTAACTTGAGATGATCGGACTCCTAATTGTAGCTAATGATTTTCTAGAAAATTATATATCCAAACGAATTCTCATAGTGAATTTCACCTTAACTAAACCGTATAACAATAATAAGATTAAAATAGTTTTCACCCGTTGCAACGCACGGGCATTTTTTCTAAGTATATTAGGCCCTGTTTCTTTTAGCTTGGGATTATTATAATCCAGATTATTGGGAGTAAGTTGAAAGAAACAGATAACTTATTAAAGTAGCTTATTATAATCTGGAGCCCAGCTTATTATAATATGATAAGCTCATTTTGGTGAGCTTTTTCCAGATTATTAGGTGAAAAATTACCCACCATGCCACCCCACTCCCTCTTTAGACTTGCAAACCCAATAATCTAGGCTCTAATAATCTAGAAAAGAAACAACTAACCGCTTATTCTACTACAGATTATAACAATCTAGCTTATAGTAATCTGACTCAATAATCTAGATTATAATAATCCCAAGCTAAAAGAAACAGGGCTATCGGAGATATAGGCCCGGGGGAATGCAAAGTGAGGGGAAGTCACCTTCCCATCCAGCCACGTGGCTCTACAGCCTGGCCCTCCCCCCGCGTCTCGCGAGTCGCAGAAGCAGCCAGGGGGCCTCGGGGTTCCACGTCACACCCCTCGGGCCCTCGCGCTGCCTCGCCCCGAGGCCCTCGCCCAACTGCCATGTGGCGGGGGAAGCGAGCGGGGAGGAGACCCAGGCTGAACAGCCATCAGTGCGCGCGGCGTCCCAACTGTCCCTCACCGCGTTTAATGCGGTAAGGGCAGACGTGCGGTGCCGCCCGATGGACCCACGTCAATCGGGTGTGACCAATCTGTGACCGGCCTATTGCCGATTGGACGGGCGGTCGTGCCCCCACGTCGCCTCTGTATCCGGCGGAGTGGAGGTAGGTATGTCCTGTCCCATCGGAGCGTTATCCGGAGTTCCCTCCACGTGAGGAGGACCGCCACAAGCCTTCGCTCATTTAAGAGGGAATGACAGGGCTGTCCCCCGTGTCAGGCGGGGGGCGGCGCCGGGTCCCACTCAAGGACGGACTGCTGCTTAGCTTCCGGGCGAAGGCACGGATCGTGGTCCGATCAAGGTAAGGAGGGTTCCTCTCCCGTGAGAGAAGAGGTAGAAGCAGCACATGTGGTATCCCCTTGAACTATAAAAGGAGGACCTTCCCCGCCGAAAAAGAGGACGACACTCAGTAGGCCTAAACTCCAGGAAGCGAAGAGCAAGAACGTTCTCCGGAGTTGAGGAACCCTTGTAACATTCAACCATAAATCCCACACACAGGAGTAGGGTATTACGCTCCATAGCGGCCCGAACCTGTATAATCTTGTCGCCCATACGCGGTTAGGAAACACTTAGGGCGGATACACGATTTCGAGAGGTGAACCCTTTTCCCCTGGCCGAACTCATAAAAGGGGATCTCACGATCTCCCGCTAGAGAGGATCACTCCTCGACAAGGGCCTTAATAAATACTCCCTCCGTTTCATATTATTAGACTTTATAGCATTACACATATTTATATAGATGTTAATAAATCTAAACATATATATATGTTTAGATTCATTAACATATATACGAACGTGAGCAATACTAGAAAGTCTTATAATATAAAACGGAGGAAGTAGTACTCTACAACTTTTCTCCAAAATGCAAGGAGTTCAAATAGTTTTTGGGTGATAAGAATATAAAGCTAGGTAGCATGCATATTTTCATGTGGTTAATTGCTACAGTACAGACACTGTACAGTTCTGATCTGCCGATAAAAAGGTCAGGGCTGGCCTGCTACGAGAATTAAATTTGAAAACATAATGATTTGCTTTTTTCTCAGAAATTTTGGGATGTAATTTTTTAGCAGAAATATATCATCGATCTTGCACAACTGTTGTGTGAAAATGATGTTGGCGTGACGACACGCGCGGAATGGTCTTGCATAAGGAATCAGCGAGACCGAACGTCTTGTCCAACGGTGCCGCTTAATTAGTGAGTAATTACCCTAATTAATAATTAATTAATCATAATTAGTAATTATTAATTGATTAATTAATGGCTAAAAGTCCCACCAACCGTTGAGGCTGAGTTGCTTAACGATATGCTTGTTATTCTCCTTTTAATCGTAATAGGAATTTTAAAAATCAAATATAATATTTTTTAAGGTTTTATTTATAGTTTTATATATCCCATCAACCAATGTCACCCAAGAGCAAGTTGCTCCTACCCACTTTATTTTCATTTACTACTATTTGTGTTTTATACTGATAGAACTTTCAACATTCAACATTTTTCATTCTCATTTTTTATTTATAAATTATATTACTACTTGAACTTTTATTTCATTTTTCCAATTTTCAGAAATCATTTTAGTTTCTGTTCTAAATTTTACCTCATATTGTACACTACATGTATTGTTTCTTTAATTAATTAATGGATAATTAGGGTACTTAATCACTAATTAACAATTTTCAATCGGCATGTCAGTCGGTATCGCTGGCTGGTTCAGCGAGACTGCTCGGTCTCGCGGTTTGGCCGCACGGTCTCGCGTCGCCACCGCGCATGTCCTTGTTTTCGCCGTTCGGTCTCGTTGTTTCGTCGGGCGAGACTGCTCGCGTCGTTATTTTCGTGTAACGGTTGTGCGAGATTGACGATATATTTCTGCTAAAAAGTTTACATCCCGAA